AATATTTATTTTATACTATATAATTTAACCATCTTTATTTCTCTTAACAGTTATGTTTACAACCAATTTTCCCATTTTTATATTTGCAGCTGAAAGAAATGAAATGATCAAGAACCACAATAGCGTTATTTTTTATTCTGTACAATATGTATATATATATATAAATATTATAAATAATAATACTATATATGTCTGTATAAATATGTTTGTATAAATATGTTTGTATAAATTTTATATCTATCCTATAATACAATACTATATAATACATATATATATATAAATATCTTTTAAATACAATTACCATATAATATAATACTCTATTCTGCAACAACGCACGGATTTCATATTTGTCTAACTAAGGAGACCACCACTTTATAAGTGTAGAGTTTAACTCCATCGTAATGAATACTATTTTTGATATTAAAGCAAACAAACCAAAGGTTATAATTAATATATAATGCCACATACTGCTGTGTGGTACATTGAGATGAAATATTTTTTTAGTTTGTTATCATGGGGATATTTTGCCATTGTCTCAAGGGCCAAAATTAACCATGTGTTAGTGTTACTTAAATTGGGCGGAGCAAGACGGGTTTTCAACCGACCCACACCGCCCCGCTTCCGGATTTGTGTGTAACGACTCGATCCATTAAGCGAATTGGTCGGGGTGAGTCAAAAACTCAATGGGTCGGCGGGGACTCGCCCCACACTGCCACATGCTGGGGAAAAAAAAAGTGTTGACAAAGGAAAATGTTATGTAATAATTAATAAAGATAACAAAAATTAAGATAAGAAACTGACAAATTAACTTTGTAAAAAATTAAGATAAGAAGCGAGCGTGGCGACAACCGGAGAAATCCCATTCCATTCCCCGGCAAAGGCAACCGCATTATTTGTGGTTGTGGACTTGTTGGGTTCGTCTTTACATTTGTATTTAATTTTTAATTTTGAAATTTTAATTCTTTTTTTTTTAGTTTGGCCACCAATATGTCTTGTTCTCCGGCCATGACATTGTCGGCGGCGAATTCATCTCCGAGAATTGGCAGAATCAGAAGAAGAAACGGCTTTAATCGGCTATTCTTCTTCTCATCATCATCTTCTTCTTTAATAAGGCCATCTGTCAAGTTCAACTCAATTCTGTTCAAAATCCCAAGTGGGTCCCACTCCCTCAGCCGCAGTTCTTCAGTCCGACCTGTTTCCCCTGTCATGGAGTGGCAGGACTGCACGTAACTATCCCTTTCCCTTAATTTTCTTTAATGTCTGTTTAATTCTGTTTGATTTCCATGTTACATTGAACTTTTTTCACTTTACACCTATGATTCAGATAGATACCCTTTTTTTATCTCGTGTTGAACTTTTTTGTAATGCCATAAGTTTGATTTTTGACGAAGTTTTTGTATTGGGTTGCTCTAAAAGAAGATTTAATATAGGGTTGAGTTCCTTCTAAATACAAAATCTATCTTGGAAATCTAAAAATTGCAGCTTTGTGCTATATGAACTAACTGTAACTGGAGAACATGTCCCAAATGCAGAGTTAAGATGGAAATAGACGTGCCTGTTTCAGTTGCCTATGATTGTTATAACGATCGTGAAGCCATTCCTCGTTGGATGCCCTTCATTTCATCTGTTAAGGTGTGCATATACAACACTTCTCCACAACCAAAACAACATTTTTTTAGAATCAGTTACATTAGAACCCACAATATCTCTTTGTCTTCACTAACATCTCTAATGATATATGAAGCAAAAGAGATCTTTTGTTTGGTTTTTGTTATGAGTATTCTTTGACTAGAAATTTCCTTCTGAGCAAATGATATATAACTAATATGTTTTCAGTTTAGCTTATCATGGATTCATATTTGGGAGAATGTAAGTTTGAATTTTGTCTACTAGATTTTGGAAGACAAGCCTGACCTATCGAGGTGGTCTCTCAAGTATAAAGCTTTTGGCCGCAATATTGAATTCTCGTGGCTTGCTCGGAATATGCAGGCAAGGATCCTATCCCTCCTCTTCCTTTATTTCCCTCGCAAGTCATAATTGCTTTCTACTATCTCATTCTGCATTGTGTTTTACCGTCTTTAGCCCATTCCAAATCAAAAAATCCACTGGAGATCTATGGAGGGTCTTCCTAACAGGTACTCTAGAAAATTCCATGCTTTTAGCAACATTTTTTGTCAGTGTTATTGGTACAAGGCTTTATGGAATGAAGCACTTTAAAATGAACTATTGGGACGATAGATATCTCTGGGTTTCCCCCCCCCCCCCCCCCTCCCTTATAGACAGTAAGCCTAAATTTAAATTCTGAGAGAACATTGGCACTCAAAAATTGAGTACAAGTGCAAATACAATATTGAAGTTGCACTTTTGGTTCTGTGTTTGTGTAGAGTTCGTGATCTTTCTTTTAAATTATAGTTATAATCAGGGGTTTGACTTCTGACAGGTTGAGGGTTATGCTTTGATGTAAAAGCTTGAGTTGAATTATACTTGAAACTAAGTTCAAATGATTAACAAAGGCCTTTTACTGGCTCATAACAATGTTATTGAAAGAAAAAGTAAATCAATGGTGGACATTTAATGGTGTTTTTGCGTGATATTCCATGAATTACAGTGCCATTTCTCATGGTTTTTTTTTATGTACTGATATCGCATTGCAGAGGTGCTGTTCGGTTTTATCCAAAGGGTCCTTCATCGTGCATAGTAGAAGTGAGGCTGCTTTACACAATATCCAATCGCTTGATTTTTTTTGTATTATATCAATTATATGATTAGCTTAAACTTTATTCTTCGTCGCCTTTAACCTCCTAGAGGAGCATGTAATTACTTTACAATCACTACATTGGTAATGCTCGTTTCTATTTTGTGCAATTTGGTTCCTCTTCCAAGTTCCTTTGTGGGATTAGAGGAACTGTAAATGGGGAATGCTGATAATTCATCTCTTTTCCTTTTGTTTCTCCCCCATTTTTTTGTAGCTTCTTCCTTTGAAGTTGCTCACTTCTTGTCTTAAATTTTCTTTTTCAGCTAACAGTCTCTTATGAAGTTCCTCAAATCTTAACCCCGGTTGCATCAGTAAGCATTCTAATTTTGATATTGGTTCTGAAACTGGTACATGCAAAGCCAACTTAAGCATTCTAACTTCGACATGGTCAAAGGATTCCTTGCTACAGAAGAAGAAATTTGTCTTTACTCCATTTGTTTTGTGACTTGGACACCATGCAGGCACTACAACCATTTCTTGAGAGCTTACTCCGACGCGGTTTAGAACGGTTTGCAACGTTTGTGAAAAGCTACAAGTAAGACCAACCTATTTCTCTATTGGGCAGCCAATGACGTGCGATTGAAAGATCATTGTCTGTTCAACTTGTGTGGAACTTTGCCCGAAATTCATATGGTGTGATCGGATTGTTGTTGATATGGAGGCCTCACTGATGCTGAGAAATTGTTCTATTCTTGCCCCCATTTCATGTTGGGTTGACATTTCCGTAAACTTGTACAAAAAAGTTACATCCATTTTTAAATGTATTTTTATAAGGTGCCATGAAGATGAAGTGGCCTGTTGTTTTTACCCTTTTTTAACATATGCTCGGGAAATAAGAAAATCATCTAGTTGGATTTTTCTGTTTATGGTCTTGTTTCGTAGAAACAAAAGAGGAGAAAGCAAAGATGAGAGAATTAGTCGAATGGATTTTAAAAGTTAGTCATCTGGTTAGAAAGATTACAGGAGAAAATGATTTGTGTTGAGAGGATTTTTATCTTCCACACCGTTTTCAGTTTAAGCTTGTACCGTTTTCCCATCCCTTCTGTATATATTCGTTTCCCTCGGGTTAAACATAGTCCAAGTGTAGAAAAAAGACCAATGTTTTTGTAATTTTTAAGAAAATCGGGAACAATAGAACTATAGGAAGGAATATTTCTCATTATTTGGATATGTACAACATAAGATACACACAAAAGAATCGAATACATGTATTAACAGATGTATCTTTACACCACCAAACTTCACATGCCGCTGGCTATTTACATCAAATCCTGAATCACCACCTACAAAACTGGCAGCTGCTTTTTCTCTCATATGTAAGTAAGCAGCCTAAAAAACAGCATACATAATAATCCTAACGAAGAAAGTCTCATTCAGAAAAGGAAAGTACATATACACTCAACGGATGTTGCTGCCTTCCAAGAGGCTCCTCAGGCTACAGAAGGCCTCCGCAGAGAGGCTGCAGCATCGTATGCTCCGCTGCTGACGTGGTGACTGCTCCTGGTGATCAAGAGGAGAGAAGCATACAATAATCACAGTGAGATTGTCAAATGTGTTGAGGCGCAAAGCCTCCATGACAAGGTCCCTCGCACACTGCTCAGGGTCATCATGCCGCCGCAGTCCACGTCTAACAAGGCTTACCGCATGCTGACTTGACATCACATCCCAAATGCCATCACACCCCATGATCAGGAACTCATCATCCTCCGTTAGAACCATCTGTCGAAACTCTGGCTCTGCAATAAGAGGGGAAGGAGAACCACGAGGCAACTTCATATCCCAGTCGCCCAAGGCACGGGAAACTGACAACACGCCATTCAGATACCCGTCATCGATGTAGCCACCCAATTCTTCAACCCGTCTCCTTTCTGGGGGATGAATTGGCCTGTGATCTTGTGACATGTCAATTGCCTCCCCTTTTCTGCAGAGAACCGCTCGACAGTCACCTGCATTGGCTACCATAAGCAGCCTAGAAAAAGATAAGCCGAGATCAGAATGGAAATACCCCAAGTTTTTAATCCAACAATTATTCCCAAATTAATCACTTGAGCAGGGAAACGACATAAAGACAAGAAAGAGTTAACACGTCCTGAGTGAGACAAGGGTCATTCATCATAACATCTGTACTTAAAAGGAGTATAGCTGCAAAAAATGGTGTTCTATGGAGAAGATATTTTGCTCATAAAAAAAGGTTTATCCAAAGGAGAAATGATTGAATGTACCTTCCAAATATAAGAGCAGTTAGTGCCGTCGTCCCAGAAGAACTGTTCACACTGCAGTCATCAGCCAAAGCAAGGTCAGCAAGCTGAAATGCTTTGCGCAGTGAGTTCTCCAGCTCTTCTGAGAAAATATCATCGACTTCAGACGTCTGGTGGACTTTGACATCTTCGAAAAAGAGCCTCATCGCATTTTTCTTGATAAAGGCTGCAGCTTCAGGACCTCCATGACCATCAAATACCTGTGCATGACAACCATCTAAAACAATTACAACTAAAAAAAAGCATCAAGAGACTATATAACAAACGGAGGCTAGAAATTTAAGTACCCCATAGAAAGCACTCGGCTGCGGAAACTGAAAGAGAGATCCCAAATGTGAGGAAAGATCATCTATGCGTATATGCTCATCTTCCATGTATCTTCTGGGTCCAATGTCAGCAAAGCTACCAGAACGGATGCAGGGCACAAATTGCATCGCATCCGACTCAAGAGCCACATCTAGATTTTTCTCCACGGGATTAACATTCTGAAAAAACAAAACAAAAGGATCAATTGTCAATTTTTTTCTCCTTTAATTTGAATACAAAAACTGAAGTTGGTGGCTTCAGTAGCAGTCTGGACAGCACCAGAATGATAAATATTCCCAAATATCTAGACAAGATATTATCAAACAATTCCATCATAGACAAGGATTACAGATAACTTGATCATTAAATGATATATATTTTTTTAAATACTAAACGATCTTTAGAGATAAATGGTTGAACAAAGATTCCAAGAAAGAAAATAGGCAAACCGCGTATTGACTTCAATCTCGTCCATCTTTTAATCAGGACAAGATTCCAACCTTTTGTGATAAACAAACAAATACATTTGAGAACACATTTGATTGGTATATCAATTAGCTGGAAAATCTAAATGCATATATCAATTAGCCAACAAAAGTACTCTAATATTCCTTATATAATAAACCAAGAATGTTCAACGAGTGGAGGAACACAAAATTTGACTTTAACAACTCAACATTAAAAAATAAATAAAAAATCTTCGGCAAACCAAATTACTATTCATCGCAGCAAACAGCTAAACGAGGGGAAAAATTAACCAATTCTCCGATCAAATAATTAATCCATTGCTCATGAACTTACCAGTTGATCAGAGCTTGATAAATCAACGGAGACCAAATCCGGAGGCTGAAATTTATCAAAATTTGTCGGTGAAACGGAAACGACATCTTTTTGAATGACCTCAAGAACATCGGCGGCTTTAGGGAAGAACTGGACCTCCAAGCTCTGCTGGCACACAACTTCTGCTTCAGCTCCCATCTTCTCTCACAATCATACCACCTTCCTCAACCTCAATCAACTATTCCGTAAAAAGCAAAGACCAGAATTTTTTTTCCTGTTAATTTTCTCGCAGTTTCTTGGGAGTTTTCTCGCACTTTCTCTTCTTGCTCTTTTTTTTTTTTTTTTCCCTTCTTCTTAGGCGGAAATCAAAGCAAAAGCAAACGAAATTTTGAGAATAGAGGACCTGAAATTTATAAGTCAGTTTTTGCGGGAGACCTGAAAACGGTGGCGACCGGTACAATTTGTTTGTTGATGTACACGTGTCAGTAAGGCAGGTGACTGTGTGGACGTGACACGCAAACCAGGCGTTGCTTGACCGACACGTGACTGTTTCAGATTGACGCGTGACCCTTGGACCATTTAGAGGGTTGTTTTCTTCAATTTACGTAATCGCCCATCCCTTCCCTTCGAAGGTTGAGTTGGCAACGTGTTGACTTTTTGTTCTTCGAAGGGCAATTTCGGGAAAGGAAACGTTTGAGCCGACTTTTGTGTTCACACTTTGCTTAGCTTAGAGCTGACATGGGATTGCGTGGAGTTCATCTACGAGCAAGAAATCTTACTTGAATGAACGGAAATACCCCTACGTTTGTGGGAAATGCCAGTGCGCGTGAAATTTCTGGATTGTGGAAAGTCCTAACGCGCTGAACTGCGGGTCCCAGTTTCTTGGACGGTCAGATACAGTAAATATATATATATATATATATACACATATTTCTTTTTCTGAAAAATTCATCTTGGTTGAAAAAAAAAAAAAAAAGAAGTTAATCCCGGAAAAAGTAGCTGCCGTGGTTAGTATCTTTTTTCTTTCTCGTGATAAAGTATCCAAATAGTTTATAATTATGGATGTATTCAAATTATATTAAAATTATAAATTTAATGGAATCTCATAAATATTATCTTCAAAAAAAAAAAAAAGTTTCATCACACATAGAAAACTTCGCTAATGCCACCATACATATTAGTAGTACGATTACACATCGTATATATTAGTACACACAAAGAGCAACATTACTCAAACTTAAGAATGTGGAATCTAATGCCCAAAAAAAAAAAAAAAACCGAAGAAGAGTTGACAGCAAGTTCCTAATGTTCAATATATTGTAAATCAATCTCATTTTTTTAAAAAAAAAAAAAAAGAAAAAAAAAAAAGGTGTAGTTTCGTTGAATTTGTGACCATCAGCGAGTAGGTGAAACATGCAAGATAGACAAATTTACTTAAAATAACATTAATTCTATGTGAGTTGACATTTTGATTTTAGGAACATCTATAATTGGTACTAGAATTTTTATTTTATTTTATTTTATTTTATAATACTCCTGGGAATCTGATTAGCTAGGTTTTGCCTCAAGGCTCAATGATCTTATCTTGATTAGTGATTAGGTCTCCAATAATTTGGATGTTGGAAGACATGATTAAGACACTGCCAAGTGTTGAAGCCAGGCTTTGTCTAACCAAATTAATAGTACTATAATTAATGCAAAGTTATAGCCGTATAATATATATATATATATATATATATATATATTTGTTAGGTCCCCATCCTAATTAAGAAGAGCCTTCCATTGCCAGACAACTTTAAAGATGATTAGGAACACGTATGAAAGTTTGCTAAAGTGGGTTTGGTGGTACAACTAGTCAACCACTAATATTCCCAAAGTGATTCATGTTCACCCAAGCATTGTTGTGATCATTGGTTTAACAACCATTTAGATCATGAGTTGGGTCGAACCTAAATTCACATTCCACGATTGTAACAAACACCAAAACAGGCCGTAGTTGTCGGCTTTTCGTAGAGAAAAAAACAAAAAACAAAACAATTATCATAGTACTCTACTGCTTTAGACAATTTTGCATTATGTTTTATTAGTTTTGCATATTTATAGAGTTTGATGTAATTTTGATAACCGGTATAATATCCTACCATAAAAAATCCCAAATACATATACTAAGGCTAATTAATGTTGTGGTTTAATGATACTAAAAAAAGGGAAAAAAAACCATATATTGGTCAATGCATGAATGGAGGATAGCCAATGCGTCTTGGAAACTCTATCTTTGCTAATCGACCTTAATTAATTTCTAGTACTAGAATATTATGAAAATAATAGTGTATCATTATGGGACTTCCTCTTGTTATTTCCTGTTTTGCTTCCACTGTCCGATCGACTTAATTAAAATGGATAGGATGGTATATGATAGATTTGTTCATGTTTTTCTTTTTGAGAAATAAAGATTGCGTTTGTAACTCGTTCTAAAATGATTTTATTTTGTATGAAAATGAAAATGCAAATGTTTTCAATTTTAGACAGAAATCATTTTTAAAAATACGTTTGGTAGTTTTATCAAGAGATTATTTTCAGTATAAAAAAAAAACTCATTAATGTCTCTCTCTCTTTTTCTCTTTGTTCGAAAGAGGAGAAAATGAAAACAAAAAATAAAAAATGACTAAAAATTATTTTTCATTTCTCTCTCATTTTATATTAAATTAAAAAATTATTTTCATTTATGTTTTTTTGTCTTTATTAAGCCAAACGTTATTTTAAAGACATTTTTATTTTTTTATTTTTAAAAAACGTAAAAATTAAAAATGAAATTAATTTCAAGGCCAAAAAAATATGACTTCTATGTAATGATGGTGATGGTGTTTTCTGTTTATCGGAAGATAAACTTGGCAAATTACAGAGGTGAAGCAAATGAAATAACATTTAACAAAGGAAGTAATGGGTGAATTTTTTCAATCACAATATTCCACGTTAAGCAAAATAAAGTGTCATTTATTCATTTAAAAAAAAATAAAGTGTGATTTTTGACTCGATAGAATTTCGGTAGTAATTTTTTACAGAAACAGTTGTGGGATGATGTTCTAGACTAGCTTTGGGGCCGAAAAGAGTGAAACAGCCAAACAGGTGGCAAAACCAACGCCCACAAAACTAGTTTGGAAAGGTTGGATTACTTGGCTTTTTTTTATTTTTTATTTTTTATTTGAACCCATGTTTGCTTGGCTAGCGTATTTCTTATCGGGTCAAAGTTGTCGATAAGTAGTTCACTGACACGTGTCAGTTGGGAGGTAGATATCCTCCCTTCTCAGTTCCCATTATTTTTTTTCCTAAGAAATTATTTATTTTATGAAGGATTGAAAATGAAAACTTTTTATATTGTTTCTTTGAGAGGGAGATATATGTTACAATCCAAATCATGAAAAGGAAATATATACACAACCTTATACCACAGGAAATGACAGACAATTAGTTTTATTAGTAAACTTGAATGAAATGTTACAACAAAAAATAGTACGTAATTTGGTTAAAACACCTAAAAAAAATACACCAAAAATCAAGCCACACATATGACTCTTTAATAACTCTAATTCGATGAGAAAAACGGATCAACTAGCTAGGATCATAGTACCAAGGGAAAAAAAAAAAAGAAAAGGAAACACACATCTTAAAGAAAAAAGAAGCCAAACACTAGGGCTTCGTTCACTTCGCGGATTCGAGTTTTCAATTCGAGCTGAGATGTGACATTTTCAGAGAGCTTTTCACTGTAGCAGAAAAAGTTAAATGTGACATTTTCTGAGAGCTTTTTACTGTAAAAACCTAAAACTGAAAACTCGAATCAGTGAAATGAACGAGGCCTAAGAAACTCTCAAAAGCACTAACTTGGATAAGAAAAGAAAAAATGAAGAATTTATCTTTAAAAGTATATGAGTCTGAACTTTTACTCTTTATTTTTTATAAATATTTTTTTATTAGTATAATTATTTGATTAAAAAAGTTATAAATAGTGAAAATCTGATCATGCACTTAAAAGTGTTCAGATATTTGGGCCTTCATCCAAGAGTTCAGGAAAAGATCTTATTTGGGCCGCAACCAAGTGTTCAGAAATAGATCCATAAACCAATATAGCCATTAGCCATTTAGACGTCATGTATGGGTAAGGAAGCCACTATTTTCGGTGGACAACAAATTTAAGCCTTCGACCCATATGTTTCCGTGATGAAGAAAGTACGGAAATAGTAAAAAATAGGCAAATATAAAAATTTAAAGAAGTATATAGGTTAATTTTTAGTTATAGAAATTAATAGATTATAATTTGTCAAGTTATGGTTCATAATTAGATAAGTTATGGATAAACTTGTCAAGTTATGATTCATAGTTAAAAAAGTTATAGACAAAAACCGTGATTTATGGACAATAACTTGTCAAGTTATGGTTTATAATCAGACAAGTTATAGACAAAAATAGTAATTTAACCTATTTATTAACCTATGTAAACTATTAACCTATTAATTTTAATTCATCTAAAATTTTGATCTATTTTTCTCTTTCTCCCAATAAAGTATTCCACATTGCCATTTCTCATAATGTTTGTGTTGAGGAAGCAACTCTTTTCAGTGGACAACAACAAACTCAGGTTATATATATATATATTTTGGTAGGAAAGAAAAGTAGAAGGAAAGAAAAAGGTGGAGAGATTTTGGAAGGAAAAATGAAAATATAAGTTGTTTGGTATGAGAGAAAAGAAAAAGGAAGAGAAAATAGAGCGGAAAATAATATATGTGGGCCCTACCATTTTTTTTCTTTTCAAAAGTGGGCAGAAAATGGGATAAAAAATGGAGACAACTCATTAAAGTGAGCAAAGTTACTAGATTACTCTTTTCTCCATCAATATCCAAGCAAAAAATTTAAGGGTATAAAAGTAATTTACGAGTAAGATTTTTTTTTTCTTCCCAATTTAACTTCCAATACCAAACAAGTGAAGGTAAGCTCATTTTCTTTTCATCTTCTCATACCAAACAACATAAAAGAAAATCAATTTCATTTCTATCATTGATATTTTCTATCACTTCCATATTTCATTTCTATCATATTTTCTTTCCTTCTTACTAAACATAGCATAACGAGGGAGTGCATTAAATTAAAAGAAAAAAAAAAGTCATAGTTGCGCTCCTTAAAACTTTCCTAACTTTGAAGTTTGAACGAGTTCATTGTTTAGATTAGATGTGATATTGGTTGAATTTATATTTGGTCCTTTTTTTTTATTAAAAAAAATCGAATTCCTCGTGGAATGCATCAAATGAAAAATATGCCATGGGGTAACTCTTATCTATCTTCAATATTGGAAATTCGGCAATCGATATCTTATCTCTAATATTCTTTTGTTCTTTTTCTCTATTTAAGTATTTTTTTTAGGAAAATATATATTTTAATTTAAGGAACTACAAACATCAACAATGATCCATATGACTCAAAACTAGTCAAGCTTTAAACAAATTCAAAGCATCGAATGATCCCTTAATATATTATTTTTTATAATTTGCATAAGTTGGATTTTTTTTTAAAAAAAATTGCATAAGTTAGATTTATTTACTAATTAACTCGGTAGTTGTGGATTCCACTAGATTCCTCGCAATATTTAAATGAAAAAAGCAAAAAAAAAAAAAAATCCAATACTAATGTAACTTCTTGGTATTCAGAGCAAAAAAAAAAAAGTATTATTATATAACTATTTGATTTTCAGCAAGCAAAACCACACCTAAGTTCAAAATAAAGGAAAAAAAAAAGATTATCATTGCAGTTATAAAAGTTGTATTAAACACGTTATCAGCATTAAAAAGAGTATATTTTTTGTTTTATTACACAGGATTCTTTTTTCTCCTTTTATAGCCAAAAAAAAGATTATCATTGCAGTTAAAAAGACTTACGTAGAGACCTAACAACTGTCCTCCTGGGTTTAATATTGTTAGCTACGGAAAGAAGAAAAATAGAGTGAGTTAGATGAAAGTAACAACTAACAAGTAGAATTCTTTAGCCAAAAATAATTAAAGAATAAATATATACATATATATATAAAAACTAGAGAAACCTTTCTAACTCGTGGAATTCTAACTTTTAAAGTGGTTTAAGAAAAATAACAGTTTTTTTTTTTTGTTCCTTATGCAAGATGAAAAATGTTAATTATCATCATAATTAGTAGAAAATACATACCGTTGCTTGTAGTCTAGACACAAACAAACCATTATCCTTGAAGCCAGGAAAAAAAAAATACCGTAAAAAGGGGAAAAAAAATCAAAATATGGTGGATCTTTTGTTTTTGGCGAGTAACAAAATAGCATAGATTGGAAATCTGGCTAAGTGTCCAATAAAGGATTCTTCTAAAGTACAAAAAAATAATAATAAATAAAAGAAGAAGTGTCCAAGAAATTATCAAAATGAACATGTTATAGTTCCAAAGAAAATGCCACGAGCCATTTTTTTTGGGTAGTCATTAATAATTGTAGGACTAACGTGGCACTACATGAGCCGTGGGGCCATTAATTTTGTTGGATTTTATTTATTACTATTAATATTAATATTAATTCGCTTAGAGTCTATCCCAAAACTGCCATGCATGACATGCCTAATATTAAACTCATTTATAAGGGTGAGGTTGGATTCACATTCATATATAATATGGATTGTCAAGAAACATAATTAAACAAGTATTCAACTGAATTTAATGCAATTTTCTAGGGCCACCAGTAAGAACTAACCAATAACAATAATAATAATAAGAGACGTTATTGTTCAAATTTGTTGGACCAGTCAAGTAGGTAGTGTACTTTGAATATGAAAAGACATATTTTCATTTTCTTTAAATGAAATCTAATGTTTTGCTCTTCTACATCTTTAAAATTAACGAATGACTTAGTGTGAAGGATCAAAAATATCCAAAAAAAAAAAATCAAAAATTGAAAAATAATCTATGAAGAATTCGGTGCCTAATAATGCTGATAACTCTTTATTATGAAAAAGAAAAATGCTGTCCAATAATTAAGGCCTCATCGTGATTGTGGAGCAGTGAGCAAGAGCAGTTCCAATTCCAGGTCTAACCCAATAAGAAAAGAGGGAAAAGTAGGATTGGCCCATTAGTAAGAAAAGAAACAACAGCAACTGCCTTAATAAATGAAAATTTTGAAAGGGTGGGAGGGATGTGGGGCCCAGCGGGTGGGGGATGGGGATGGGTTGAGTTGAACGGTCAAAAAGCAGAAGAAGACTGTTGAAAGTTGAATCTCCAAAGCAAAAAGCGAGCAAAAGCAAGCGACGAGTTAATTTTAATTAATAAATTAATGAAAAACTCCTTCACGTTTTTTTGGGGGCTGAGCAGTTGACTGGGCAGGGCTCTTTCGGTGTGTGTTTTTTTGACCGTCTGTCCACCAATCCATCACCCTTTCCCATAGTCTTCTTTACCAACACCGTCACCCCCAATCAATGCGTTTCATTTTTCACATTTTCTCTCCCTCTCTCTTTCCCTTTTCTCTCTCTAAAATCAATCTTCCTTTTTGAACAAGTGAAGATCAAAGCAAACCGATTTACTTCTCAAATCTTAATCCTTTTAGATCTATCTATCTATCTACCCATCTTTCTTCCTTCCTCCATTTTTTTCGCGTCATGAATCCGCCTCCACTTTCGCTTCCTTTACACACTCAATCCTTTCATTGGTAAATTTCTCTTCTTTTTTTCTTTTTTCTTTTTTTTTTTTTTTTGTAAAATGTGTTTGTGTTTGTGATGTGCTTGGCTTTTGGATCAGGTTTTTCCTTTTGTCGTTATTTATGGTTAACCATTTCCCTCCAAAATTGGCTGATTTTTCCATATAGATATAGATCCTTTTCTAGGGTTTCTCATCATCTTATTCTACTTTTTATCTCATTTTTCATAATTGTTTCCTTCCCGTTTTCAGTTTTTTCGTGTTGTCTCCGATGTGTGACGGAGAGCCTTGTCCGATCGTTTGATTGCCGATAGAGAGGCGCTTAGATTCTCCTTTACTAGGCTGATTTTGGCAGTTCTTATTTTATTTTTATTTTTTTATTTTTTTATTTTTTTTATTTTTTGCTTTCAGTAACATTAGAAAGAAAAGTAATTTTTTTCTTTATTTCGTGCAAATTTAGCATTGTATTTTTTTTTTCCTTTTCAAATAAGCCCACTTGTCTCCTAAAATGTTTATTTTTGGTCGAGTATTGAGTTATATAGTTGCAGGCTAGCTCGCACTTTTACATGTTAGTTATCGCAGCCGAACGTTGTTCATTGACCCTTTTCACTTTTTATTTTTCCCTCTTTATGCATCCAAAAAATGAGCCTTTATTATTGTGAAATTTAAATGCAGTTATTCCTAGCTAATGTATCGTTGCACGTCAATTATGTTTTTCTGTTATTTGCCTATTCTTACACGATCTTATTGTACTTTGCAGGTAATAATTGATTTGCTTTACTGAAATTTAGAGAAGGATTATTGGGAGTTTTTTTTTTTTTTTTTTTTCCTCCTTTCCCTTTGAGCCAATGGCGTCTGTAAGCGTAGTTCCTGCTTCTGGCGTTGTAAGAGAATCCAGTGGGAACGCTGCTGGTGTTGATAGATTGCCTGATGAGATGAATGACATGAAAATTAGAGATGAAAAGGTAAAAAACCATATCTTTCTGTTTTCTTCCTAGGCTATGTATGTATTCGTGATTTTGGTGAAGCTGTATCTTTATAGGGATGAAATAATTCGTGTGAATTCTTTCTTATAGGAAGTGGAAGCAACCATTGTTGATGGAAATGGGACGGAGACAGGTCATATTATTGTCACTACAATTGGTGGAAAAAATGGCCAGCCAAAGCAGGTTATTTTTTCGACATTTTTTTCCTGTTCTGGAAATATGTGTAATTGTTGCAAAACGTCCAGTGTACTGATATGATATTCCGTTGATGATTGTAGACGATAAGCTATATGGCTGAGCGTGTTGTTGGACATGGATCTTTTGGAGTAGTTTTCCAGGTGCGTCGCTACATTACAGAGGCATAAATTTTAGCGAGTTTAGTAATTGTAGTCAAGTGCTTGACGCTGTGATTGGGTTATTTTGATATCATGGTTCTGTTCAAGATCCTGAGCGAAGCTTTATTGAGGTTCTGCAGGCAAAGTGCTTGGAAACTGGGGAAACGGTTGCCATTAAAAAAGTTCTTCAAGACAAGAGGTACAAGAATCGGGAGTTGCAAACCATGCGTCTTCTAGACCACCCAAATGTTGTGTCTCTGAAGCACTGTTTCTTTTCAACTACTGAAAAAGACGAGCTCTATCTTAATCTTGTACTTGAGTATGTCCCTGAGACGGTCCATCGGGTGATTAAACACTACTCCAAGATGAACCAAAGGATGCCGTTGATATACGTTAAACTCTATTTTTACCAGGTATATGTTGACTCTAGTTCTGCTTTAATTCCATTGAGGAACTGAAGAAAGAATTCTTGGACATACATAGCGGTATAGTGAAACCATTATGAAACTTACATAATTTTATTGTTTTACTTTTCTAGATTTGTAGAGCACTTAATTACATTCACAACAGCATTGGAGTGTGTCACAGGGACATAAAGCCTCAAAATTTGTTGGTAAGTCGGCATTTGTTCTTAATGTACGTTTTCTTGCATAGATTAATATACTTGAAGTTTGGAGAAAGGGGAACTTTAATAATTAAGGGATTTTGGTAACCCATTGGAATCATGTAAGTCAAACTGGGGAACACTAAGTAAGGTATGTGTATGTATGTGAATTAAGTCTGTATATGGCCATAAAGCACGTGTTTCCTTGTAACTAGCTTCTTTAGCGTATAAAAGAAAGTAGCATGACGTGTTTTAGCTGTGTACAGATTAAGGGAATTAGTATGACTGAATTGTCTTTATTTTTCTCTTTGTAACAGGTCAATCCTCATACTCACCAACTTAAACTTTGCGATTTTGGAAGTGCTAAAGTCTTGGTTTGTTTCTGTTCATCCTGACTTGTGATAATTTATTTTGGCTATAATGACCTATAATACTGAATTTGGGTATAAATTTGCAGGTGAGAGGGGAGCCAAATATATCTTACATCTGCTCTAGGTACTATCGAGCACCTGAGCTGATATTTGGGGCAACTGAGTACAGTACAGCAATTGATATCTGGTCTGCTGGCTGTGTTCTAGCTGAATTGATGCTTGGACAGGTGAGTGTTGTGTTTCTATTTGGTCGATTTTGTTTATCTTTTGTTTTATCTATTCAAATGAATCTTATAAGTTACTTTGCTTTTCCCAGCCTCTCTTTCCGGGAGATAGTGGAGTTGATCAGCTCGTCGAAATAATTAAGGTGAACGCGAATGCGATGTTTTTATTTCTATTTTTTTTAAATGAAAAGAATGGCAGATATTTGGCAAAAGATGTGACAAATATCCAGTTATCACCTCTCTACAGATTTTCTGAATTTTTATCATCTCTTGCAGGTGTTAGGCACCCCAACAAGGGAGGAAATCAAGTGCATGAATCCTCACTACACAGAGTTCAAATTTCCCCAAATTAAAGCCCATCCATGGCATAAGGTATTTGCTTTCTCAACATGATATATACAATGATGTTTATTCATTATATTTTGTTCCTTTTTTTTTGGTTGAAAAAGTCAAATCAAAATCAGGACTTAATTCTATTATTGAACACAGATATTCCACAAGCGAATGCCACCTGAAGCCGTGGATCTTGTCTCAAGACTACTACAGTACTCACCAAACCTTAGAAGCACGGCTGTAAGTATTATATTGGGGTCTGTTGTTTCCTTATTATGACATGTGCTTAGTTGTTAATACTTGCATTACAATTCAGTTAGAGGCTTTAGTCCATCCGTTTTTCGATGAGCTGCGAGACCCGAACACCCGCCTGCCGAACGGACGTTATCTTCCTCCATTATTTAACTTTAAGTCTCACGGTGAGGATTAATGTTGTTGTGTTGTTCTTTCGACTATTTAATTGTTTATGTTACTAGATATAAACTGATGATTGTTGACGTTGTTGATATCAATCAGAACTGAAGGGTGTACCAGCGGAGATGCTTGTAAAGCTAATACCGGATCATGCTAAAAAGCAGTGTGGCTTCCTCGGATCTTCTTCTTAGTGATATTGTCTGCTTCTCGCAGGAAAGAAAAAAAAAAATTGTCTTTATATTGTAGAAAAAGTAGCCAAAGTGTTCAAATCTAATTTGGTCATAATTTGAAGCTGCTGTGATCTCTCCTTGTTTATTCGTTACCTTTATTTGTTGTTGCATCTATACATTACTTTATTATTTGTATGTAGAAGGCAGGTAAAGAAGTACTGCTTATGTGCACTGTGCTCCTTAACATCTTTGGGCTGTTAAAAAGAGAAAAAAAAAATCTTATTTTATGAACTTTTCAACTTCCTGACAATAGGTACGCATCAGAAATCCGAATTCAAGTGTGTTTTTCAAAGCCAATTCTCCGATAAGCCTGAATAAAGAGAAACTAAAGAAAAAACATGATTTCTCACCAGTTGGTAGTTGGTTCTAAATTCTAATGCCAAGTGTTCAGAAACTGGTATTAATTCTTCGCAAGGTGTGGGCATCTTCATTCTTCACGAATTAAATTAAAAACAAAATTAAGCGAGGACGTAACAAAGTTTCAGATCTAAGGTGATGTTTAGTTTGATGAATGAAATGAGAATATGAAGAGTAGGAATACAATGAAATGGGAATAAGGTCCCTAATACAATAGAGGGATAACATCAATCCAAAGAGACGACGTTGAACGTAAAAAAGCAAGATTAGTCAAATAGTTGGCTACCTGATTCCTGCTTCGGGAGATGTAGCAAACATTACCACTAAAAGCTTTAGATACAAAATTTGCAATATCCAAGATGATATTTGCCTCAGGGGAGCGCGGTGAACAAGCTTGAAGGGCACGGACAACATCGATATTGATAGCATCTGTCTCTAAAATCCAACTTGAGAAACCACATAACCTTGCTAGCTTGATCCCTTCACGAACAGCCATGCACTCCGCCAAGTAGGGATCAAAGTGTCCCGGGACTTGCTTTTGCCAAAGCACTCAAAACATAACCATTTGAATCACGTATGACTGCTCCAACTCCCACCCAATCACCAGTCATTTTTACTGAGGCAGCCACGTTTATTTTAACAAAATCGACCGGTGGTGGCCTCCATCGGTTCTGTAGACATTGTCGAGGCTCATTCGGACGTCTCTCAAGCTCCCAATGAAAAGGAAACAAACTATCCCAAATCCTCCCAAACGGCTAGCTGCACTCCAGAGGAAAGTCAAGATGTATTGGCGCCATCATCACCAACAAACTCGATACAGACGCGCTGGAACTCACCCAACAATCTACCAGCTCGTGCAACACACACTGAAGGTTCTTCAAAGCACTGTTGATGCGTCGCGAGATGTCCAAATGCTCCAAAGTAGCATACAAAAAATCTCTTTTAAGTCTTCACTTTTACCCTGACGTGTGCAGTCCTTGAAACTTTGAATTATAGGCCAAAGGGAACTGTTTTACCAGATCTCCTGTGCCCAAACACACTGCTTAAAAACATGAATAACACTTTCCTCCACATCGAACACAACACTCCTCACAATCAATCCCTCTACTTCTCAAGCGGGAGAGTGTGGGAATTCCTTCATGAACATGGACTTTTAACTTTATTAGGAATTCTGGCCTTCCAAATAACTACTACTCTCGCCTCTTGAAACCATTTCGAGCTTGTAACCAGAACGGACAGTGTACTCTCCCTTACTATCATAATGCCACACCAGAATGTCGTCTCCCCTAGAAGAACCTAGAGGAATCCCGAAAATGACCTCAGTCAATAATCCCACTCTCCTTTAAAGATAAGAGAAGAAACCAGCAGCGCATCAGTGTTCCGATTGCAACAAAGTTGGTTTTGGTCTTTAAAAACCCGAACAGAAGCACCATTGCCAATTTGCCATCAAACCCCTCTCCGCACAAACAATGCTTCTCCAAACAAAAGAGGGGTTGCAGCCTATCCGAGCCTCGAAAAGATCTGTTGGGTGGAAATATTTGGCTTTTTATCCATGGCCTTTGTAATTTCTGAGCCTCGGATTGTTACTTTATTAAAAGCCGCCATGCTTGTTTGGAGAGAAGAGCCCGATTAAAAGCCGCAAGGTCCCGGAATCCCATCCCCCCAATCGAGTTTTGCCCTGCAAAGTTTATCTCGGCCTATGAAAGCAGGTAAGCCAAGATATCTATTATGGGAATTGTCAGAAGCTAACCCCAAGACATCAGAAATTTCACTTCTTACCTCATCAGACGCATTTGGACTAAACGTGATCATAGACTTTTGCAAATTAATTACCTGTCCCGAAGCTTTCTCATAGGTTGCCAAGACATCCTTCATAGCCCTACAACTTCGGAGATCGGCTTTACTGAAAATTACACTATCATCTGCAAACAAGAGATAACTTATTCAAATTCCATTTTTGAAATAATTGGAATACTATATGTTTTGACTAAAATACCCCTCTATTTAATCATTTATAATGTTTTTAAAACTAAATTCAAATATTTTCTAAAGTTATTTTTCGTCTCTCGATGTTTAACGTGAGTATTTTATTCGATGTATGACTAACATTCAAATAATTTTAACTTCGGTATATGATTGATTACTAAAATAATAAAATAAAAGTAAACTTTATGGATTACTTTATTTTTTTATTTTATTTTGATGAGTAAGCATTCAACTTTATAAAATACTTAAACATCAATACTATTATAACATAAAAGATCTCAAACGTTTTACCCATGATCAGATCAACAAAATAGTATAACATAGATCAAATAGGAGTTAGTAGGAGGCTCTTTTTTTTTTTTTTCCTTTAATTAATGAGTGAGTTGCATTAGGGTCAATAGAAGAATATGTTTTTATAATGGGATGGTGGTATTAAAATTAAGGATTATTCTCAACAGCACCCCTTAAATTTTGGGTTATTCTTAATTTGCCTCTTAAATTTTAAAAACTCTCAATTTACCCCATAAACTTTGAATTGTTCTCATTTATCCTCTTTTGTTGAAATTTTTGAAAGAGAAAGTTAAGTGTGATCATGTAGTTTTTATCTGTTTCTTTTTAACAGAAATCCAAACAAAAAGACCAAATAACTTCGTTATTCTTTTTTTTTTTTATATTTGTTTTTAACAAAAATTACAACAGAAGGAGTTAAGTGAAAACAATTCAAAGTTAAGGGACAAAATGAGAGTTTTTAAAGTTCAGGGAGTGATATGAGAATAACTTTAAAATTCAAGGGATATCATGGATAATAATCTAAAAATTAAATTTTAGAACATTGAGATAGATAAGTTAAGGAGAGAAAATCTTAATTAATACCAGTTTTAAAATTAAATGACTATTTAACTAGTTCACTTTTTATTCAACCATTGATTGAATAGAAATTACACAATAAGTACTGCGTTTTAGGGAATGAAAACAAACATCAAAGCTAAAGTAAATTACACATTGTCGTTCTTATCAGTTTTATGATTGTAGTCGATTTTGTAATTTTTGATGTGTCAACATATCTATCGATTTTTCTACTTCAGACGTGTCAATATATGCATTTTTTTTTGCTTATCTTCCAACCGTTTAGGTTTTTTATTTTTTTTTATTTTTTTGGCTTATGTTTCTATATCAAATTAACTTCTATCTACATGTTTTCTTATATGTGGGAAGAAGACAGTGAAGAAAATTATACGTAAATGTTTTGATCTACAATGGAGTTCATGAGAATGGTATCTTGCATGGATACTAGGGCTTGAATAGACTAGCCAAATTATCCTACTTTCAAAATTCTATTACTCTTGAGATCGTGATTATTTCTGACAAGCTTTTGAGTCTAACTGTTATGGATGTAGGTACAATCTATGGATTCCACTTTTATTATTTGTATTTCTAAATATTTCTAACACGAAAAAGAAGATGATCCAGTGGTTCTTGCATCACTATAGTACTATTGGTAAAGTCCCCAATCTTCGTACTTGCTCCCTAACGAGAACATCAAGTTCTCTACACACTGATATTCATTTCTTGATCACCTTTTAGTTTGACTGAGGTTGTTAACGTAGCTTCCTCTTTTCCATCGCAGTCGTTATCTTTCGACACCAAAAATGTGTTCAACCTTTGGAAAAAATAATTAAAAAAAGGCCTAGTCTCACATTGGTTCGGAATCAGAAGGATCAGTCTTAAACCTATAGAAGGAACCGAGAATCTTTATTTCTAGTTGACACTGGCGTCATAACTTAAGTCAAAAAAAAAAAAAAAAAAACCTAGTACCATATTGGGTTTAGAAACAAAAAGGACGAGTCTTTCGATCTATATAATGAGAATGGACTTATAATTTTAAGATATTGAGTCTGTTATTGGTCTTTAGAATATCATACAGGTACTTGACACTGATAAAATTAAGTATCTATTATCTTTATAAACTGTGATGGTGGTTGTACCAATTTGATTGATCCATTGTAGCAATGTTTAGAAAATCTTCCTTTAGAACATAGGGAAAAAAAATGACAATGAAGTGAACAAGCGGCAATGAGATTTAAAACGACAACAACCTTGGTCGAAAGCGAGTGAAATGGGGATGGGCCCAATGCGTGCTTGATCCATCTATAGCCCAATTCCAATATTTGACTTTCCTCCTAGCCCATTCAACTTGTTTTTTTATTCATTAAAAAAAAAAGAAAAAGAGTTGGCATAATTCATTGGTAAACTTATTAGATGTGACCTTTTTTTTTTTTTTTTTTTTTTGGAATGACCAACTAATTATTTGCACTTTTTGATGAAGTAATGTGTATTAATCAGTCTGCTTTCGGCTGATGGGGTGCATATGAATGATTAATCCCATGTGCAATTGTTTTATGAACTTGAAAACATCTCCGTATAACCTGGTACTTATTACAAAATTGTTCAAAGCTTCTTTCTTAATTAGTGAAGGACCGATAGAGTGCTCGAGCACCGCAGCCTATATATATTAGAACCTAATCTATGGCATGGCCTTCAAGCAATGCATGTGGTCTGTTTTATAGACACGTGGACATTGGATCCTATCACATTAATAGATTTTTTTTTATATATATATATATTTGTTTTTAATATCTATTTTGAGGCGGGTGTGTGGATCATGTTAAACCAGGTAACTTTTTTTCCTTAAACCATTATGTGATTAATTTTAAGTTTCTAACTATCAATCTCAAGCGATTACATATATTAAAACACATCCCCATTTCTTAAAGTGCATTAGTTAATTAAATTCTACACGAATAAGTATGCAGCAATCCCCTTGAAAATATTATTAAGTAGCTTCCTAACCTTGATGTTGTTTTCTATATGTCCACGGTCAAAACCTTTCCTGTGTCAACCATGTGAAATTGAAAATATCCTAACAGTGTGACATGTTGAATCCAATAAACTAGACGCCTAGTTGCACCATCTTATTTAATTTTTTTTTTCTTTTTTTAAAGAAAAAAGCCTTAATTTCGTCATGGCCAGACACTGGATCCAGGCAAAACTAAATAATAAATAAATAAATAAATAAAATTTGAATAACTGCAGACGCCGAACTCCTTAGCATTAAGAAGACCAATTTCCAATGGTTTCAGATAGTTTCACAACGCTGAAAATTGCTGAAGGCAGCCTTTCCATGGAAGTACGAAAAGCCATATATAGAAATCAAATTATTCAATATCGATAACATGTATACATATAGAAATCAAAATTATATAAATATCACGTCATAGAATTTTCTGCTCACATGCCAATGCCTTAAACTCACCGCACCCTATTCTAAAACCTTAAATCTATATTTTTTTTTATATATAGGACCATGGGAGCGTAATGCACTATATATAGACACTAGATCCAAGAGCCTTTTATTTGGAATTAAGTTTAAGAAATTGCCCTTCTCAACTCTCAAAGAGAACAGGGACTTCCCTTAACAATATGTCCAAATCAAGGTAAGAATATTTCTCTCTTTATTATTAGTCCTTTACCTTACATTTCTACTCGATTTGCCTAAAATCAGCGTACTTTTGTTACACTCTCATTGTTACAACATGAAAAACGGTCACCATGATCACCTCTCAGGTTGGAGGGCAAAGTGGCCCTTGTCACCGGCGCAGCCAGCGGCATAGGCGAGGAGACGGTGAGACTCTTCGCCGCCAATGGGGCCTTCGTCGTGGCCGCCGATGTACAAGACGGATTAGGCCAGCAAGTAGTTCAATCAATAGGCTCAGAAAAGGTGACTTACCATCACTGCGACGTTAGAGACGAGAAGCAAGTTGAGGCAACGGTGAATTACACATTGGAAAAGTATGGCAAATTGGATATCTTATTCAGCAACGCAGGGATAATAGGCAAGGATGCAGCTAAATATTTTGAATACTAATTTTAGTTTGTTTACACACATTTATTTATGTTAAAAATGATACGACGATTTTTGTCTTGATAATATAGGCCCTTTGACAAGCATCATGGACCTTGACTTAGACGGCTTCGACCACACCATGGCGACAAACGTACGCGGCGTTGCGGCGACATTCAAGCACGCGGCACGGGTTATGGTGGCTCGTGGCACCCGTGGGTCGCTCATCTGCACTGCGAGTGTGTCGGCGTCGCTTGGAGGCACCGGCCCCCACTCGTACTCAGTGTCAAAGCACGCGCTGGTGGGGCTGGTCAGGACAGCCTGCAGCGAGCTCGGGGCGCACGGTATCAGGGTGAACAGCGTGTCGCCTTACGGGGTGGCGACGCCTCTGGCATGTCGGGCGTACAACCTGCAGCCGGAGGAGGTGGAGACGAATATCTCGGCAGCGGCGAACTTGAAGGGGGTGGCGTTGAAGGCAAGGCACGTGGCGGAGGCTGCATTGTTTCTTGCGAGTGATGAGTCGGAGTATGTGAGTGGACACAACTTGGTTGTGGATGGAGGCTTCACGGTTGTTGCTCATGGTTACTCTGCCGTTTGAGGCTGCGCTTTTGGTGGAGTTTTTTAAGCTGCTCTAGCAAAGCCAACGCAATGTTTAATCTGTGTATGTTTTTGGCATTAATTTTCTTTTGTAATTCTAATATATTACTATAGAAAAATAAGTTTTGCTTTCAAAGTCAAACCTTGTTACCAGCACTTTCCATGTGCATTTTCCTTGCGATCTGCAGTGCTATCTTTCCTTCTTTTTTTTTTTTTTTTTTTTTCCTTTCTTGGATTGATTGTCCATTTCATAGAACCATCATTTTTGTCTTGTCTGCATATTACGTCTAGAGTCTCCCCCATTTTATAATTTTCTACTTTTTTTTCCCCCTTGTTCTCCCCGTCATTTGGGGTTGTGTTTGTGAGGTATAATTAATCCCCAATTTGTGATGCAAAAGAAGACAAACTTTTCTGGTGTTGAATAAGTACAAGTAAATTTGCATTTTTCTTGTAATGTAGGTTTCAAGTGCATTGTATCTTAATTCTTAATCTAACTTTAATATATTTTTTCCTGGCCAGATTCAGCTCATGAAATCTGTCTTCTACATCATTATTAAATGATATAAACTTTCCAATTTCCATGTGTCAAAGCACGTGTTAATTTCAACTTATCTGTTCACTAATTAATCGCCTATTGAATTATTATTTCACATATTGTTCAATGTAACTACATGTCATACATTAGTGTCAGGTGTGGTGTATATTGATCTTTCCAAGTTTTATATCTCAAAATCTATACAATTCTCACACTCAAAGAAACTCAAGTTTACACTCTACTAACTAGCCAAACTGTTATGTCAAATTGTTGAATGTGGACTGTGGAGGTTGTAGTGAATTTCTACTTGACAAAGCTGATCTGATCAGGTCTAACTTATTCTAAAATACTAAAGAAATCTATAACTTCCACCGTTTTTTTTTAATATTTACAATACCACCTATGTATGTCGCAAAATCTTTAACTTTTTTTTTTTTTGTTCTCCAAAGTGGGCTTCTAAAACACATGCTAGCTTCCAATGTTGGAACTTCTATCAAAAATTTACTTTTACTTTGTTGGAACTTCTAATATTCACGAACATGTCCTACCTCCTATGCTTTGGACCCAAGATCAGATCTTGAAGATGACATTTCAAATCACAATTTGACTAAATAAAGTAACATAATTTTGTATTATTTTAATGAAGCAAACATCTTCAAATATGTAGAAAGGTGGAATTGTCGTACATTTGATGCTTCCTTTTTTTCATTATCAAATTACTCTGCCACCTTCCATCTTTTATGCCTGCGTCAACATAACTAACACCTCTAAAACAAACCTTACAAAAATATTAAAAAAAAAAAAATGGCCACCCAAACAAGACCAAACAGTCAAAACTAACAGTCCATATCAAACTATCAACTGTAACTAGTCTCTCCCAACTAAACAAAGTTCAAGGACCACGGCAAAGTGCATCCAATAATGATCGAAATCTCCAAGGCGAACACTTCTAAAGAATTGAAGATCTGGGTAGTCTTGAGACTTGGATCTCAAGGAACAACACGACTGACATATGGGACTGCAGCTATATTGGTATGATATTGTGTCTTTTGGCATTGTAGTGGTCTCCTTGTGCAGTGCTTTATGGGTGATTTTGAAGAAAGAAGGGGGCTCTTCTTCAAGATTAGAAGACGGCAGCAGCACCACCATGTATGAGAGCCTTCTAGTGGCTCGGCCAGTCAGCGAGTCGTTTGTGAGTGCATTGCAGAGTGGTCATCTGAGAGGTTCCCAGTTATGGAGGAGCTGTTGGAAAGAAGTTCACCCTAAGTGGCTCTTGCTAACACGCCTCCTCTCTTTTCTCGTCTTGGCTGGCTTCTTGGCCTGGGACGTCGTCGAATGGGACGCAACCATTTTCCTCTACTACACCGAGTAAGTGATGCACATAATTGACCTTTGACATTTAAAATTTGATGAAGTTCAATCTTTCGTTTTTTCAACTTGGGGTGGAGAGATTTGAATTATAGACCTCAATATTGGATGTGTGAGTAGATTTACTGCAAGGCTTGCAACCACATAAGGTTGATGTTTTATGTAATTCTTTTCTCCTCTGGTATATGTGGACAAGACTCAAAGATTGCCTTTAGCTTATCTACCTACTTGAGAAATAATGATAGGTCAGTAGTAGAATTTGGCATGTTGAACTTCAGAAGCAATTTGCTCTCATAATACTGCATCATATGTTACTTCATTCAAAGTTTTTGCTTTATATTGCCTGTACTGATCATTAAGATGAATTTCTATCTGCCATTTAGCTGCAATTAAGACAGGAAAGCGTGTAAAACATTTATTTGTTAAGTAGATTCACTTTTCTTCTACGTGTCTAGTTCAATAGATGTCATGTTTTGATCTTTTATGTTGGCAATCAAATAAGTGGCCTAATCTCCAACTCCTTTTTTGTGTACTTTTTAACTTTTCTGCAGGTGGACTTTTGCATTAGTCATAGTCTATTTTGGGGTATGTCGTCGTTTCTCATTCTCATATTTTGCCCTTATCAACAAATAATCATGTGTTTTTTTTAAGTATATTTATAATTGTATGTGTAGTTGGGGATCATTGTATCTGCATATGGATGTTGGCTTTCCTCAAACCAACCTCATCCTGAAAATGAAGAAACAATAGATTTCCTAAGGAGTGGCATTGAAGAGACAAGAACTGAAACCAGTAATGCTCACAAGGCAAAAGAAATCAAGGTTGGGATCAAGTTGCAAAGCCAAGAGATTCGGAAAAAAGCCGGATTTTGGGGATATCTTATGCAAATTTCTTTCCAGGTAATCAGTGTGTTTATTGGATCTTAAATTATGTTCAGATCAAAGGCTGATGCATTATTCAGTTGTTGTAACAGACTTGTGCAGGAGCTGTTATCCTCACTGATATTGTATTTTGGTGTGTCATTGTCCCATTTTTATCAAATGCCCGTCTTGGACTAAATTTGGTAAGAGAAGAATTATATTCTCACAACAATTTAATTTCTTGTTGATATACAAAGTTGAAACCTCTCTAATTACCCAAAGTTGAATGTTGTCATCAATTTGTTCTAGTTATTTATTAATGTTAATATAATCATTCCTCACTGACTTAATTTATCTTGACGTATGTATGAAATGAGTGGCAGTTAATGGGTTGCATGCACACTTTGAACGTAGTTTTTCTTCTGCTGGACACTGCTCTAAATAGCCTAGTAAGTATAACACTGCTATATTTTAGAAACAAATCCTAAATTATGACATGTTACAGAACACATGTCCATATGAGGTTTTAAATGTGCCACGTTTTTCCTTTGCTCTACAGCCTTTTCCTTGGTTCCGGCTATCATATTTTGTGCTATGGAGCTGTTTATATGTCATTTTCCAATGGGTCATCCACGCCTGTGGTTTCTCATGGTAGGAACAAAATTAAATGTATTGTTCTATTTTTCAGAAACATTAATAATATTCTCTCATTTGGGTTCAAGATATAGTCATATGACTTTGTCTATTGCAGGTGGCCGTATCCTTTTCTTGAGCTTGATACACCATGGGCTCCTTTGTGGTAAAACCCCTCTGCACCCATTTTTCATTTATTTTTGAAAAATTATTCTTCCATTGTTACTTTTATCTAATAAGAATCTTAACACAATAATTTTTTACCCCCTGCTTAAAGGATAAAACTGACATTATTATATATTTTCACTTCATTAAAAGGGGAGAGATGTGCAATGAAGGTCAAATTATATGGCATTGAATTATAAAAAAAAAAAAAAAAGGATATTTACCAAAAAAAAAATTAAAAGTGGAGAGGAAAATTCAATAATCAACCTGTTTTCTATCACCTAGAACTATGTGTTTAAAGAATCTAAAGAGAAGTGTTTGTCTATTGTACAGGTATTTTTTCCTGGCCGTGGTCCACATACCCTGCTATGGAATATACGCACTGATAATAAAAACAAAATACACAATTCTACCAAGACGGTTTCCCCATGCTTTAGTAAGGTCATATTAGTTTCATTGTTGACCTCAAAAGTCATAAGGTTTGAAGTGGTATTGAAGATTTGTTTTTTTTTTTATTTTATGTTATTGGTTTTGATGCTTTGCTGATGTATATAAAGAAGGGAACGCTTCGCTTTGTCCCTTACTCTAAAGGTTTGTGTTCCACAATTTCACGTACTTGGAGTTTGGTTCTACAATTATTCTTTTAAGAAAATAATTTTTGTATTTTATATATGCTAAACTTAACTTTAGATGTTATGTCTTCCATTCCATCCATCCTGCTTCTTCGATGTTTAACTTTTACTAAATGAATTTCCAAACATCAAAAGTCTAAAAATTGCAACTATTAGCACTAGAATGAGATGAAGTTATTCAAGAAAGTATTAGAAAAAAGATTGATGTTGTTCATGATCGTTTTGGAGGAAAAAAATCAACCACATTACCTAGTTTTTACCGATTTAATTGAGAAAACCGTCACGTAAACAAAAAGACAAAAAAAAAAGGTTAATCTATCTTGAAACAGTTTAATCAGCTGAATTTTTTAATAAAAAAACAAATCAAATCATATATACTTTTTGCTAAACCAACTCATATATGCTTGGTTAAAGTTTATAAGCGGAATAGAAACTGATCAGTTTAATTTGATTTTAAGGGTATTGATTTTATTGAAAATCCCTCCTGGAGAGACAACTAGTAGCTTGCGATTATCACCTGCTCCAAGAATAATCTAAATTTAAAGAAAGAGGGAAATAATCTAGTTTCGGAAAATAATAAAATTTAAAAGCCAAAATTTGAGAAAAAGCTGCTAAATATCAATTTTGTGTAAATTTGGATTTATTATGCTGCTAAATTACTAAAATTAATGGAATGAATTTAAGGGAGAGTTGAATAAATAAATCGAGAAAGAGAGAAAGAAAACACATAAACAAAAAACAAAATAATAAAAATTAAATTAAAACATAAGCAAAAAATTCAAAAATATTACTTACCATCCGCTTAAATAAATAAATATTCCCTTGTTAATTTCTTATGAAAAAAGATATCTAACATTTCTTTCTCGGTTAATTTTATTTTTAGCCCCTAAATTATGCACTTTGCTCCATTTGACCCCTGAACTTGCCTCATACACATAGTTTGGGGGTAAGATTTGCAACATTTTAAAATTTAAAGGTCAAAATAGGACAACCTGCATAGTTTGGGGGCCAAAAAGTGAAATTAACCCAATTAAGCATCTAGTCCAACAACTACGGGGTTAGAATTGAATTTTGTGTTTGGGCCTTTTTGGACTCAACGCACGTGTGATGCCGTCGAAGACATTCCCATTCCAAAGACCGACCGACAGACAGACGGACGGACAGACACAGAAGAGAAGAGAAGAGTGAGATGAGACAGTCAGAAGCAACACAAATTCATTGGCCATTCTCTTGACTTGGACATCCTCCTCCTCGTATTTTTCATATCATCAATTTTCATTTTCTCAACTAACCTTCTTCACTTTCAATCATCACATTCAGAACTCCTAAAAAAAAAAAAAAAAAAAGGTTTCTTCCTTCCTGGGTCTGTCTCTGAAACGAAATGTCGAAGCAGCAGAAAGGTTTGGAGTACTGGGTCCAATGGCAAGTCCCTGTCTGCGCTGCAATCATCGTCATCCCAGCCATGGTGGCTCTCAACTACATCAAAAACCAGAACAATAAGAAGAATCACACCGTCCTCAGATCCTTTGATTTGTGGAATTCTTGTTGGAGAAATCTCAATCCTCTTTGGCTTCTTCTCTACAGAGCCTTTTCTTTTCTTTTCTTGGCTTCTCTGCTCTATAACATGGTTGCTATCACTGGTGCCTTTGCCTTCTTTTTCTACACCCAGTTAGTTTTTTTCTCTTCTCTTTCTCCACTATTTTATTCTTTAAAGCTCAATTATGGGGTATTTTAATAATTGAGGTTACTCTTACGGCTCTTACCCTTATGTTATATGTTGTGTGAATTTATTAATCCACAGGTGGACTTTTGCCTTAGTTGTGCTTTATTTTGCGGTATGTCCAGCTCCATCTTGACTAATTATTCTAATTTCTAACTTTGCTATCTATTATGTCTTGCAATCACGACAACAAAAATTGCCAATATGGTAGAACTTTTGTACCGTGTCAGAGCGATAAAATAGTAATAGTACTCCAAACAAGTTTTGGTTTAAAAATATTATTATAAACTTGAGTGCAGGTAGCAACTGGTGTGTCAGCGTATGGATGTTGGATGTCCAGAAAGAAAGTCCCATCTGAAGATGGGGCGAGCACTTACACGGAGGAAGAATTCAAAGACAAGATTAAGTTACAAAGCGCCCATGCCCAAAAGGAGATTCACCAAAACGCTGGATCTTGGGGATCTCTAATGCAAGCGATGTATCAGGTTAGTCCTCCAGGATTAATTCCATTAAACATTTCGCATTTGCTTACCTTTTTTGTCGCGTGATAAATTCGTCGATTCATGGTCTGGTGTGTATCTTTTCTGTAAAGTCTCTAATGTCGTTTAAGTCAATTGGTGTAATTTCTCTTTTACTGATCAGTGTTAGTACTATATATGCTGAATTGTCAATTGAACATTTCCTATACCATCTTGTTGACGTGTTGATGTTTGGTTAACGAATCTTACTAAACTTATAATATATATATATATGTATATATGATATCTATGACAGACTTGTGCAGGCGCTTCTGTGTTGACAGATCTAGTATTTTGGTGTCTTTTAGTTCCATTACTAGCCAACGTGCAATTTGAACTAACCCTGGTGAGTTGGCCCCACTTAGAATCAATCCGATCACCAGCAAAGATCCATGTCTTTATTGATTTCTTCAAGTACATTAACATACTAGTGCTTCTGAAATTGATTGCTGTTGGCAGTTGATAGGTGCTATACACACTGTAAATGCTGTTTCCCTTATTGGGGATACTGCACTCAATGGCCTTGTAAGTATCTCTATGAATTGGGAAACCTACTTATGCCGTGTGCAACAATCACATTTTCTATTGTTATGGCTACTTTTTCATTGCAGATATAGCTTTTATTGTTAAAAACACTCTCTCTTTTTCTTTTGAATCGAGAAACATTTTCTATTTTTACTAACCTTTATTACATTACCACGTAAACTGAAACAAGTATGACGACTTGCGTATTTTTTTCCAGCCGTTTACCTGGTCCGGATTTGCATATTTTGCTCTGTGGAGCTGCCTCTACATTACATTCCAATGGATCGTCCACGCGTGTGGTTTTATGACATGGTAAGAATAACCAACTTTTTGAATTTTCATTGTTCATTATACTGGTTTAATAGCATCATTATATATTTTAAAAAACATATATATCATGGACCTAATTGGTTCTACTTCTGGCCATTGTAGGTGGCCATATCCTTTTCTCGAGCTCAATACGCCATTGGCGCCCCTATGGTATGATGTGTGTACCTTTTACTTTTTTTTTTTTTTTTTTTCCTCGATTTGAACATTTGACCTCTGACATTTGAGGTGATTACGGGGAATAACGGCTATAGAAAACATGCAACCTCGTGTAACTTCACTTCCAATTGCAGATACAAAGAATGAACCGCATAATTCCTCTCCGTGCTTGTATATGTTTTTGCATCTTCTTAAACTAATCTAGTCCTTCATGCTTACAGGTATTTTGGGATGGCATTGTTTCACGTTCCATGTTATGGGATTTATGCCATGATTGTCAAAGCGAAGAATTCTTTTCTCCCCAGATTGTTTCCTCGTGCTTTTGTGAGGTTAAATTAGTGAAGAACTGATTGTGTTTCAGAACTTATAATAGGATGTTACGAAACATTCTGGTCATTATTTAATCCACATCGTGGACGTTGCTTTGTAACACGTTCTCAAGCAAAATCATTGTTGCCTTTCTTACACCATGGGAGTTATGCAGAGGGTGAATATAAACCATGTTCTGCTTTCAAAACTCTACAAGAATAGTCAAGTAGAATCGAAGCGGTTGAATGTTGCACTTTCAAACACAATAAATTATGACTTTTTTTTTTTTTTTTTTTTTTTTTTTTTTTTTTTTTTTAAAAAGGGGATAAAAAAAAAACCCCAAAACAGAGAAAGAAAAAACATTATTGTCTAGATACGTGATATAAGAAAATTAGCGATACCAAGATATATCTACGAAGAGATGATAAGCCATCACTTATTGTTGTGAATATAGATTGTCCCCAATAGCTCTCAACTAAGTCCCACATGGAACTCTAAGCTACACCGATACACTAGCAAAAGCTTAAATAAATGTCAACGAAATCATTTCGTAAGATAAGAAGAAGTTTTAACTATTTTCGTAAAATAGAAAAAGATCGGCAAATGATAAAAAATGCTAATTTAGCTAATTTTTTTCCATTTTTTCTTACAATTATTTATTCTTAAGCAAGGATTAATTATATAAATTCTTTTTGAATTATACTCTTTATAACACTTGTATGTAGCCTACATTCTCTTTGATGAATTACATCCATTAAATTTTTAACTGAAATTGACATTTAATTTACTATTTTAAAGATATTGTAATGATTCTATGGTTTAAAATTTAATTTAAATTTAAACTAATTAAAACTTTATAAACTTTTTTATTCTACGAAAAAAATTTATAAAATTTTTAAATTACATTAAATTAATAATTAATGTATCATAATTAAAATTTTAAATTTAAACTAAAACTTAAACCTTAGAGTTTTCTAAATAATAGAAAATAACATATTAATGTCTGTTCATTTCACTGATTTGATTTTAAAATTTGAGTTTTGTTACAGTAAAATGCTCTTAGAAACAGTCACATTTAAAATTCTCACATAAAATTACATCTCAACTTAAATTAAAAACTCGAATCAGTGAATTAAACAGATCTTAAATGTGAATCTTCATTAAAAAAATATAATCGAGAGGACTTTTTTATTAATATTTTCTTATTTAAAGATTAAGAATAAAGTATTATAAAAAATATAGTTCAAGGCGTTTTTTTGTAATTAATCCTGTACAATATTACCACTAGAGTTGTCCCAGACAAACCATTGACGGCTTAATCAAGCAGAGCAACAATGGAGGTCGATAAGAACTGCAATTTTTGGCTTCCCAAAAAGAACCGATTTTGTGCTAATGCTTGCCTCCATCATTCCCTGTTAGTTCTCTCTCTCCGGTCCTTAGAGTCTCTGATTTTGCCTATTTCTCTCTCTCTCTCTCTCTCTCTCTCTAATATGTTATATTTATGGAATTTCGATAGGTTCTGCGGCAACCACAAACCCAGGTCCGATGACCAGTGGATCCCATGCCCAATCGACCCTTCACAGTAACTGCTTCTTCTTATTTTTATTTTTAACAATCTCACATTAGTCATTTTCGAAGAAAAGTATTCTCTGTGTTCGATTTTTGGTTAGTTTCCTCACTCTTTTTGTTTTCCCTTTTATTGCCGGTGTGATTTTTCAGCTCTGTACTTAAAGAAAATCTGGAAGGACATGTAAAGAGATGCCCTTTACTGAAGCAAGTTCAATCCTTGACTCTCCAACCTTATTATCAAAAGGGCATCAATTCTGGAAATCAAACAGAAGAAGATGGCAAAATGATTACTTCAGAGTTGAAGAGGAACGCTGTTTATAGCATGAGTGTTGCTCAATTCTCTGAACTCATTCGAAAAATCGAGTCCCTTCATGAATCCATACGCCACTATATTCGGGACTCGTATAAGGTACCAGAAGCTTGCGGCATTTGGATTAAACGACAAGTTGACGGGTAATCTATGAACTTCGATTTTCACTGCATTTTCATTTAGTGCAAGTGGATTATAAAGCTTGTATTCTCAATAATTAGTACCTATGTAGATTGCTTGGCCCTTGTCGTTTAAGATTCGATCAAAATTACACATGTTTATTGCCTTCAAATATAATTAGGGATAGTTATATGGAAAGTGATTGGTAAGGTAAACCTTAAACTTTGTTAAATTAAATTTAGGACATTTAAGTCTATGAAAGAAAGATTTTTGATAATATGAAATTTGATGGAATGTTTTTGTAATTCCAGAGAATGCAAGGTCGAATGTAATGAAACACAGGAGAGGATTGTTATTTCTCCCCTTTCTTTGTTGTGGTTTTGCTACGGGTTGTTTGGTTATCTAAACCGAGTAGTAGTTTGCAGGAAATTGCCATTTCAAGAAAAGCATGTGGCCCAACAGGCCTCGATTCTTGCAAACCTGGAAGAATTTGGGATACTGGATAAAAATTCTATTGAAAGTGAGGGGTTTGATCATGATGGATTCTTTGGGAATGGCAATGGTGTACCTGCGGTGGTTGAGTTTGGAGCAGGAAGAGGGTACTTGACACAAATGCTGGCTGATTGCTATGGAATCCAAAAGGTCTATTTGGTGGAGAGGAAATCATACAAGCTAAAGGTTAGTTGGTCCGAATGCCAAAAACAAAAGTGCATTTTGGGCCTAGATACTTCATATAATAAAAATTAAGAAATTCACTAGTTTTGGACCTTGATTGACTTTCTACTTTCTTTTTTGTCATTTCATGCCAATGCTATGTCTAGGCTGATCGATCCTTGCGACAAAAAGAGAGACTGATATTAGAGCGTTTGAGAATTGACAGTAAGGTTTTCCAAAATCCCAATTTTTTTAAAAGGAAGTTTTGTAATTTCATTCTCTTTCGTAATTCCTATCCTGATCTTTTAATATTAATCTCTTGTGTATACTATAAGTATGTTCCTTCCTAGCGAAAGAAAAGGGTGTAATGCTTGTATCTTGATCTTTTTGAAACAGTAATACAGTTATCAGTTATCAGTTACTGCATGTCAAAGACCCCCTTAATATGGTTTTGCTATTCGACTTAAGCTGCATGCCCTCAATTTGCTTTCCCTTTAGTTCATTACATATTCACATTACAGAGTGTGGCATATTTTTTTTTCCTATATCTCTTCCTCACGTGGGAAATTTATGGATATTCATGGCATGAATTAAGTAGAAGACCACAACTAAACTTGGCTTGGTTTGCAAATAATTCAATAGCATTGCATCCGATGTGGATGCAGAGTTTGATATCAAGTCCCACTTAGCATGTTGTCTATTTCTCTGTTACATTGTTAAACTTACATTACAAACTTTCTCTTTACAGTTGAAGATTTAAACTTGAAGGCTGTTGAGTCTCTACGGGGTGTTCCTTACCTAGCTATTGGTAAACATCTCTGTGGGCCTGCAACAGGTAATCAGCGTGTATTTCATTTTGAACTTTCCTATGACATACATACTAATAATCACAGTTGATGAATAAACTAATATGTAAATTCTTACCATTCAAATTTGCTAAATATTATTCAATAATATTGCTGCAGATTTGACTCTGAGATGTTGCCTCGTGAAGTACTGTGACCAAGAAAATATTCCAGTGAGCGATGTTGATACAAACCTGAGAGGTCTAGCTATAGCCACATGTTGCCATCATCTTTGCCAATGGAAGAACTACATAAGTAACCAACTTATCTAAACACGTTTATTGGCAAGAGAATTGCAAATATTCATTGGTTTTAAACTGACTTTCTGTGATACACTGATTGCCCTGCAGATAAGACCTACTTTTCAAATTTGGGGTTCACAAAGGAAGATTTCCACGCAATCACATGGTTTACCAGTTGGGCAGTAGATGCTGATCATAGTTCAGATATTCTCGATGTTAATAATTGCAGCCTGGATTCCCAATCCATGTAATTTTCATGAACTTGCCTTTGTAATACTTTGAGCATCAGTCAGAATCTTGTCTTATTTCCGTCTCCCTCCTTTATAGAGGTTTATTTACAATTGCCGCAATATGTTGTGACAGGGAGACAAATTTTAGTGAGAATAGAGGAGTTGAAGAAGTGATAAGGAACATGAAAGCAGCTGAAAGGGCGGCACTGGGGTTTAAGTGCAAGCAAATAATTGACATGGGAAGGATGGTGTGGATGAAGGAATGTGGATTAGATACACAGTTTGTCAAATATGTCCCATCTACCATCTCTCCTGAGAATCATCTACTTATTGCCAGATGCATCAACCATTTATGAGATCTTGTTGTTCTTCTGTGTTTTTTCTTTGGATGATATTGTGCGGTCCTCGATAGTCAGATTACATAACAGTCAGATTACATAACAATCATATCTGAACGTTTTGAAAAAAAAAAAAAAAAAGATTTAAATTTAAGTGTATCTCTGTCCAGAATGGTGGTTCTTTTTTCTCTCTCTTTTTTTTTTTTCCTTTTTTCCCCTTGAAATTCTTTTTGTAGTTTATTTTAATTTATTTATAAAAGTCACAAATTGTAACTTAAAGACTTTTGCAATATTATTTTTGTTGTATTGAACTTCCATAGCATGTCAAAATGACAGAGATTTTGTGGAAAGAGCCTTAGGTGATCAGGGAACTTGAGTCTATATATGAAAAATAAGTTGTTTCCTTGAAACTGTTAAGGAAATTGTTAAGGTAATAAATTTTCCTTGAAACTGATTTATCAAATTTGTTTAAAGTTTGTTACGATTTAGTCTGCATGACTTTTTTTTTTTCTCTCTGTTTTTTTTTTTTAATTGCTTGGACTATACCTTACATGACCTTGGCCAAGCATATGATATGCAAAGAAGTATGGTTTCGAAGCATGGTTTCCTGCTTCTCAGGCTTATAGGGAGCTGGTGTCATGTTCAAACTGTACAGACTCTCAGTCCAGAAATAAACATTCGATATTGGCAGAAGGTGGGTCCCTCCTTTCAACTCATATTATAACATATGATATAAAGGGCTTCTTTTCTTTCTTTTTTTTTTCTTTTTTTTTTTCCCTGGTTTTTGATCAAGAAACCAAGCCTAACAATGACAAAATAGGCAATTGAATTAAAAGTAGATTAAAGTTAAGAGACTATAGAGGATGTATGTGTATGTGAGAGTTCTCTTGCTTATGAATTGTGCTACATCGTATGTTCAGCATGAAAATACGTTAATGTCTTGCACAAATGAATTTTTTGATTACAATTTTTGGTGGATGCTGCAGAGAAAGAATGAGTGGACAAAGTATGTTCATTTGCTGAAACTCAACAGTCGACTCTAACGGCGACGGAGAGGACCATTGCTCTGCAGCATCCATATCTTCTAGACATCCAATTTCGTTTTTCTAAATATATGGTTCAACTGTCGTCTTCTAGTAATCACATGCTTTGCACGTGGCTTATAATTTTTATTTAATTTTATGTATTTTAGACGAAAGTACAAGTGAGAAAAGAACTTTGCGAGTCAAAAAAGCAAATTGGACTTTGATTTGTAATCTGATAATGCGTGGATAGCTAGATAACAATCTGATGTGAAGTCGGATTTTATTTGGATTTGAGTTGGGTCATGCGTGGTTGGCAAGTCAGTAACGTTTACCTCCAGGAAATTTGAAGCAGGTAAAAGCAAGAAATAAAAAAGAAAACACGTCTAGTAGGAAAGATAAATAATTCCGGCAGATTAGAAAAACGACACACGAAAAAAAGAAATTCATCAAGATATTGATGTCGTCAATATGCGGCGACATCGAATAAATTATTAGCAGAGCTAGTTTTGTTGGTTTTTCATTTCTGAAATGAACTAGAGCTTAGAAGTTTGGCGAAAAGTAAGAAAGACAAGAGACAAAGAAGAGGAAAAAATGCAACGTCATCTCATACGCAAAACAAGACTCTCCATCCTTACCCACTCGAATCAACCGACTCATCACCATATCCAATCCCTTTTATTATATAAAACCAATCCCTTCCCAGAACACACTCCTCATATCCTCTTCTCTAACACTTTTCAGACTTCACTTCAGTGCTGCTATATTACTTCTTCACTTTCTACTCGTACAATACAATTTATTAATAAAAAAATGGATCCCAAAGGCACCATTGTCTTCACCACCGTCGGCAGGCCCTCCTATGGCTTCGACCTTTTCTCCCTTCCTCTCGATCACTCCGGCCCCGAACGCCGCCTCTCTGACGCCCTCTCCATCAACTTCAACGGCCAGTTTTCCGATTCCGACGACGTCGTTTTCGTATCCGAGAGAACCGGTTCTCCTCGAGTTTACCTCACCCGTCCAGGACTCCCCCGCCCCAAATCGCTCCCTTTCGTCCCAGAAAGCCTCTTCCACGACCGTCCCGTCCTCAAGAATGGGAAACTTTACTTCATCTCAGCTCACCAACGCCCCGATCAGCCATTCAAGAGCTGGTCCGCTTTGTACTCCACTTCTCTAATTAAGGGAGATTACAATCCTGATGAAATCGTCATCACCAGGCTAACGCCTCAAGGATCCGCCGACTACAGCCCCGCCGTCTCTCTCTCCGGCGAATTTGTCGCCGTCGCGTCGTACGGTTCACGCCCTTGGGGCGGTGAATTTCACGAGCTCCGCACCGACATCGTGGTCTTCGCCGCGTCCGATCCGAGCAAGCGTGTGATCCTCTGCGAACGAGGCGGCTGGCCGTCCTGGTGTGGCGATTCCGCCATTTACTTCCACCGCCAAGCGGACGACGGCTGGTGGAGCATTTTCAGAGTGGATTTTCCTGGAATTATTAATGATTCTCGCGAATTCCCGATCCCTTATCCCATTCGAGTCACGCCGCCTGGTGTCCACTGCTTCACTCCGGCGGCTCTTCACGATGGAAAGAGAATCACCGTCGCGACACGGCGGCGCGGCAGCGATTTTCGCCACATCGAGATCTTCCATACTGAGTCAAAGACGTTTTCTCCTATTACTGAGTCGCTTAACCCGAATTTCCACCATTATAACCCGTTCATCTCTCCCGATTCCAAGCTCGTCGGATACCACCGCTTCCGAGGCCAGGAAACAGACGGCGTGAAGACGATTCCCCACCTTGAACCCGTCGCATCTCCATTGAAGGACCTCCGGATGTTGAGACTCAACGGCTCTTTCCCGTCTTTTTCTCCCGACGGCGATCTGATCGCGTTAAACCCCGCCATCTTCGACGGCCTCTCGATCGTCAAATCGGACGGCTCGAAACGCTGGACATTGATCAGAGGTCGTACAGCGTTTCACAACTCGTGGAGTCCGACGGAGAAACACGTGATATATACTTCCATTGGCCCAATCTTCGAGTCGGTAAAAGCAACGGTCCAGATTGCACGGGTCACGTTTGACTTTGACTCTTCCGAGATTAACGGTGATCGAGGGGATAAGGATATCACGTGCGATGTAAAGATACTTACGAGAGAAGAGACGGGGAACAATGCCTTCCCGTCGTGCTCTCCTGACGGCAAGTCGCTCGTCTTCCGTTCAGGTCGTTCGGGCCACAAAAACCTCTACATTCTCGATGCTGTTAACGGCGAGTTTGACGGCGGTAGTCTACGGCAGTTGACGGACGGTCCGTGGATCGATACGATGCCGTGTTGGTCGCCTAAGGGCGATCTCATTGCTTTCTCGTCCAACAGACACAATCCTGATGATGTCAATGCGTTCAACATTTACGTCATCACGTCAGATGGCTCCGAGTTAAGGAGGATCTATTTGGCTGGACCGGAGGGTTCTGGAGACGCGGACAGGGAGAGGATAAACCATGTGTGCTTTAGTGAGGACGGTGAGTGGTTGTTGTTCACGGCTAATTTGGGAGGAGTAACGGCGGAGCCGGTGACGTGGCCGAATCAGTTCCAGCCGTACGGGGATTTGTACATGGTGAGGTTGGATGGGAGTGGGCTGAGGAGGCTGACGTGGAATGGCTATGAGAATGGCACGCCAGCATGGAAGAACTTCGGGCGTGATGACGTGGACATGGGGCCCTTGAGTTTGGCCGGTGATGATCGTCTGGTTGGGGAAGAGTTGAGGGGTCAGTTTGACGAACCTCTTTGGATCACTTGTGACATCTAGAAATCCTACACATCACTTGTTATTTGTTGTTTTTCTTTTTGTAGTGTGCATTTTTTTTCTTGTTATTTTAAGAAACAATAATGTGTATAGTGTGCCGGAAGACAATAAAGTTTTTATTAAACTGTCGAGTTTACAAACTGTGATGAATAAGACAATAGCCTATAAGCAGCAAAATTAAAGGATGAAGTAAATGCCGCGCTAGATAAATCGTCTAGGAATTTGGAAAACCTGAATGTGTCGGAAATGAATTGGAATCTTATACCATCACTATTCGTTGGTTAAGAGAGAGAGTTAAAGAGAGTGAGAACACCCTTCAAAAGCAGAGGTTGGCCGAAGCTCCGACACCGCTTTCGGGCGCGTCGCCGGACTCCCGGCGTGAAATTTGGTTCACTGACTCGTCTCGTCGTGGGCTTCTCGTTGATAGTAGTGGTGTACGGTGTGATGGCTTCGTTTGGACAGATATAAACCAATTAAGAGCTTGGAAACCAAATTGACGATCTCTTATCTCAGGGGAGTTTTCCGTTTAGTGACTGAGATCTCTTCGTTGGTTGTTTTTCTCGATGGCCCTTTGGTTGGATGCCCTTCACCGGAGGTTTCTACCGACGGTGGTAAGAGGTTTTTGTCTTTTTGTAACTTTTGTGTTTGTACTAAAGTTGGTGGTTTCCCCACTAGACCCTCATATGGTTTGTTGTTTTTTGTTAGATTTAGGTATTCGGCTTAATGGCGATAGGGTGGCCTTGGTGCGGTTAGAATTTTTTTTATGCTGTGTAGATGTCCCCTTTATGTGAGTTTTGACGATATGCCCCTCTAGTGCTCTATAGTTTATGTTGAAGAGATGAGTTTTCTCCAGTCGAGCTTTCAGTCCACTCATTATTAGTGTGCCAAGGTGTTTTTTCAGTTTCAGACCTCAAGTCTGCGTTTGTCCCTCTGATAGGTTAGCAATGTATTAAAACGATTGTTATTAGTATTTTAATGAAATGTAATTTTTCTTTTAAAAAAAGAAATGAATTAGACTTTCGTCCAATTATTTAATTAGAACTGTCGTCGGTTTCAAAGTTGTTACATGCCTACTTTCTTTTTTTTTTTTTTTTTTTTTTTTTAAAAAACCTTTTTTTTTTTTTTTTTTTTTTTTTTTTTTTGAATAAACCTCTTTATTGAAAGAAAAGGTCCGAAGGCTAAAATATGGTGGCCACATAGGGCGTCACCTCCTCAAGGCTAAAAGAACCTACAGACTATATTCTAATAGCCCACTTAGCTACGGAATCAGCTCACTCATTTTCAACTCTAGGAATCCACCTAAATTCAACTAACTAAACCAGCATTGTTAGGGATTTTATTAGTTGACAATTTTTTGAAAATGGGTCGTACAAAATTCAAAAATAGGGTCAAGTACATGATTGATGTAGAATCAGATTTTGTGGTGATTTTGATATGCTAATTGTTCTGGATTTGAAAAGTTTTTAGACATTAAAAGTAGAATTGGGTAAGTTTATTTCAGAGACATTTGTAGAGATATTTACAGAGATTTGAAGAGATGTAATTATTATATAAAATCACGGAGATTCCTGTAGATTTGGAATAAGATCTATTTGAGGAAAGAAAAATAAATTGATTGCTTGATGAGTGGTTTTATTATTGGAAAAGGAGAAAAGGGAGGCCACATGAGATTTGGTATAGTTGGTATGTTTTCTGAAAAAGGTATAAAGGCTTTATATATATATATATATATTTATTGGTGTTGTATATATGTGGGTGCACTAACGCGAAGAAAAATAGTGAGCAGTCTATGCTTTATGTAAGGTTGTGTGCTTTATAAGGTAATATGTGTGTGTGCAGACTAAGGGGACGTTTGGAAGGGAGATTCGTGTCATGATTCGAATTATAGTTCGTGGTTCGCTATAGTATTTTCTCTCATAAAAAACACACATAAAATAAGAATAGTTCTGAATCATGATTCTGAATCTATGAACCAAACGTCCCCTAAGTCTAGCCCATTAAGAAGGATTTGAAATTGGTTATTGGATTGTTTGGAAAAAGCATTGAATTGGAGCTTGACTTGGATTACACGTGAATTATCGCTATATATATATAGCTTATGGGTGTACGTGAGTTTGGAGGGCCTTGGAAGAGAAAATAGTGGGTTTTTGTGTTTTACGGTTATAAAAGCAATTCAAGGCCATATTTACCATGGGTTTTAGAGATATATTTTTTAGAGAAAGAGTATGTGAGTTTTATGAGCCTTGAGTGTTGATTGAAGATCGTCATTTGGGAGAAGAATTATAAGCTTTCGGGAGGAAGCGCACTGCCAATCGAAAGGAGTTTGTTGCGCAGTTTGAAGACGAATGGTGCTTGTTGGACAAGGACATTAAGGAGATTTGACACGATGGCAACAACATCAAGGAGAGAGTCGTGTACAGTGCTGAAACTTTGGACGAGCCGCCCGTGACCACCGAAAAGTCTAAATTTTTACCCGAGTACCGAACCCGAACTGCCCGAAAATTCGGGCTGCCCGACCCGAAAATTACCCATGGATGGGCTTCGGGCAGGAGGTGCCTGCCCGTGCCCGGTCGGGCTGCCTGATGCTCAACCGGCTGCCCGAATTTCAAATTTTTTTATATTATATTTTTATGTTGTATTTGTATAATTACAATGTGTATATTACAATTTGAAATTTTAAATGAACACACCAACTATATAAACAAAATTACTTCTTCATTGATTTTTAAATTTGTAATTCATAATTGCCTGTTAAAAACCTTACCAAGAAAAGCCCAATTGGGATAAAAACTTGGTAAGAAAAAAAGAGTGCAATCATTGTGGGATGAATTACAAATTTGACGAACTTACAAAGTCTATACAATATTACAATAACACTATACAAATTAGAAATTACAAAGTAAATAAATATTTAGAAATTAGAATAATAAAATTTAATTTGAAGTAGAAGGATCGTCTTGAAAATTAAAAGTTAATATATTAAATTCGTCGATCCATTCTTGGTTTGCCGGTAAGACTGTATCGTGTAAGCGTTGGTCGAAACGGTCCCAATCCTTGATGCACACCAAAGCTTTAACAATATCCTGCTGCAATGCATTTCTCTGTTCTTCAAGTATTCGGCCGGTTGTACTGAATGCTTGTTCGGCTGCAACAGTGGAGACCAGGATAAAAAAATATCCATTGCCAGTCGTGTTATGATCGGCCAAGTTAATGCTCGTGCCCTCCACCACTCAACCAAATCAAACATTTTACTACTGTCTATAACTAAGCCATCACTCAGGTACGCCATTAACTCGTTGAATCCACCGCCACCTCTTGATGAAGATCCACTCCCAGATTCTTCTTGACCTTGAGTCGTCGTCGTCGTCTTCTTTTTCTTCTTAGACAACCCGAAAACATTCAAGAATGAATGCGGATTGTCGTCTCGTTGTTGCGGTTGTTCAACACGGGGTGTGCTTCTAAACCTACTTTCGTAAGAGATATATATAATATATTTTTTTCCTTTATAATAGGAAATTGGTCAGTAGTGTCGATAGCTAAAAATTCACCTAAGTTATCTAATCCATTTTCTAAACCTTCTAATTTTAATCTAGGGTCAAAAATAACACCGAAACCATACAACGTAGATAATTTAGACCAATATTTTTTAAACTTCTTTTCCATAGAGGCGATAGGAACTCCTAAAACCTCGTGTGTCCTAAATTCACTAAATAAAATAGACATTCTTAAAAGTTCTCCTAACACTAATGGTGAAGTTGGGTAATAAGTTCCACTAAGCTTTAAGGTAACTTCGTGAAATCTACCTAAAAAGTTATACAAAAGTTCGGCAATTTGCCAATCAGTTTCATCTATAAATCCTGTTCCTAATGTTACACTAACATAATTTGTTATAGCATCTTTATAGGGGATGCATTGTTCAAGCATTATGTAAGTGGAGTTCCATCTTATGGGCATATCTAAGGCTAATACTCTAGGATTTTGATTACATGCTTGTAGAAATCTAAACCAATCTTGTATTCTTTGATTACTACCTTGAATCCAAGCAATGTTATCTCTAATTCTTTTAATATGACCTGACAGTGATTTTAACATTAAATTAATTATATGACATGCACAGCGTTGGTGGAAAATGTCATTATTACCGAATAAACTTAAATCATTTTCAAAAAGTTCTATTGCTTTAGTATTTACAGTTGCATTATCTAATGTTATGACCATTATTCTATCTCTTAAACTATATTCATCAATAACAGATAAAATTGTGTTATATATTAAATTGGCAGTATGTGATCCTATAACACATTTAAAACCTAAGATTCTCTTATCCAAATCAAAACCTTTATAATAATGTCCGGTTACAGCTAAATAATCCTTGTTGGCAACGGTGGACCAAATATCCGCCGTTAACGCAACGCAACCGCTAGTAGAGTGTAGAAGGTTGATTAATGCTTCCTTTTCTTGTTTATATAACTTTAATGCATCTTTCCTAATAGTAGTTCTAGAAAAAAATTGTGCATTAGGATTATGTACAATTTTAATATAATGCTGCCAATTTCTTTGTTCAGTAAAACGTAGTAGTTGATCTAATGTGGCTATTAATCGTGCCATTTCCATACGATCAACTTACGGATCGTATTTCCACATGCTTAGACCGTCGGTTTGGCGGTCAAATGATAATTGCATTTGGCGGAGATCAGCTCCGCCTCCTTGCTTTTGAAGACACTTTTCAGAGTGTCTTCTTAAGTGTGTAGTGCCGTAAATAGTGCTACCTTATAATTTCTCACCACAATATTTACATTGAGCTACGTATTTAATGTTACCGTAATTGTCGACCTCCTCGAATGTGTTGAAGTGCTCCCAAACTGCTGAGGTGCGCTTGCATTTCTTCTTAGAACTTGCAACACTTGCACTAGCACTACCGCTTGCCTCTTCCTCCACGGCCACTTGTGCCACCACCATTACGTCCCCGACCTCTAGTAGGTCCACTAGGGGTCGGATTTGCAGTTTCATCAGCAACTCTTTCCATAGTTTGTGATTCCTGCATTTGAAAAATATTAGGAAATTGCCCTTCTTTGATGTTGAATTGGGCATTAATGGGAATATCACCACCATAACCAAAAGAAGCCATTATGAAAAATAAGAGAGATTGAGAGAGCTTAAGAGAGATCGAGAGAGATTTAAGCGAGATTAAGAGAGATTTGAGAGAGATTAAGAGAAATTGAGAGAGAATGAGCGTTTTTGGGTGAGGAAAATGGTTGGGGGGGGAGGGGGTATTTATAGGAAAATTTTTGGGTTGAAAAAAAAAATTTTTCCCCCAAAAATGTGGGTCCAACGGCTAGTATATTTTTCGGCAGTTCGGGCATAATTCGGGCAGGTCAGGCAACGGTAAGAAATCCGACCGTTGGGTTTAAATTTTCAGGCAAAATTCGGGTTCGGGCACAAAAGATCCGTTTTGTTCAAAATTCGGGCATTTTTCGGGCAACGGTAAAAAATTTTCAGGCAAAATTCGGGCACCTTTGGGTAATGCCGGAAAATTCAAAAAAATTCCGGCGAACGGCGGGGGACGACTTCTCCACGGCAGCGGGTAGTCGGGGGAATGAATATTTTCGGGCTGCCCGAGCCCGTACCCGAAAAAACTCGTGGTCGGGCGGCGAGAGGCCCCTGCCCGCCATGCCTGAAAATTTTCGGGCAGCGGGCATGCCCGCCCCCCGAAGTTGCAACACTAGTCGTGTATAAGTCCGATTGGTGTCTGTAAATCTTGAGACTTAGTGGATTGTTCATTGTCTGAGCGTGGCCCCGCAGATGTAGGTTGTTTAACCGAATTGCGATACCAACCTCTAGTGTTTTTTACATTCTGCATTATTTTCCTCCTTGGTTAATTTACGTTTCTGCATTAAAAAGACGCAATTAATCGTCAATGTTTCATAAAGTGTTATAACACTCTCTGGAACACTTGCGTAAAAACAGATCTAACAAGCATATTCAATCAGCTGAATACGTTAAGTGAAAACAGAACCATCCAATCCCAGAGAAGGCCTGATCCAATATAGACTGCACAAACTCCTTGCAATCTACATGGATAAGCACTGGAGAGCCAAACTCTATTCCAACTTCAATGGCCAATTTTACCGCCAAGAACTCAGCTTCAAGGCTAGATATAGCCAGAACAACATCAGTCCAAACTTTCTCCACAACACCATGAGAAGAGAATAGAATGACACCCAATCCAGCCTGCTCCGCATGCCTACTTTTCATTCATCAATGGAAAGTTATATATGATTATAATTGTGGGAAAAAAAATACATGACGTTTTTTAGACTCTAAATTTTTATTTTGACATTAATCAATAACCCATAATTAGGGCTCTAAAATGTCAAAAGTAAAAAGTTTAAAGCTTACTTATAATATATATATATATATATATATTTATATTTAGACCTCGTTCGTACCGCTCATTCGAGTTAAGAACTTAAGTTAAAAAAGTGAATTTATATGAGAATATGTAGTAAAATAAATAACTAAATAAATAAAATAAAATAAAAGCCTTTTGCATCATGTTAAAAGCCTTAATTATTGCGGGTTCTTTCAGTAATTTCATAAATATTCCCATCACAAGTTATCATGCCCCCAACATGAGTTAGTGACGTGGAGACTTGTTTAGAAATTAAACCTGATTAAGGAAGTGATTAAACGATTAACAGTTCAAAATTTGATTTCAAATCCAGATACTCAAGTATTTCCAAACAAACCCCACTATTTTAGGAAATTGAGTTTTTTTTTTTTTTAAAAGGAGGCGGACTTTACAAAATACAATAACTGTTAAGATTAACATCAAAAGTCAGCCTCCGGCATCCACAGGGTTACACTTGTGCATACATAAATAAGTATATAAAAGTAAATAACTGACATCAACCACAGTCTAGTAGAATTTAAGGTTTACAATTCATAATTAATACATGCCTTAAATAAATCTGATAATGAAGGAAAATATTTCACTGTTTCTTGCTTCTAGAATTGAGTTCCTCACCTATTTCGCACTACTTCTAGCGTCACCTGAGTAGGGTTAAATACATTTGAAACATAGAAAAAAATGAGCGAAAGACCCAGTAGGATAAAGTTTTGTAAAACTGAATAAATAAGTAACTAAAGAAAATGAAATAATCAAGCCCGAAAGAAATCAATCGGAACCAAACAACCTTTTTTGAAAGGTAAATAAACTTAAGTTCTAGTTTATAGGCAACCAACAAGTAATTTAATGATAAATTACTTACGATCAAAAGCAAGGCCTTATCACCACCGTAGTGGCCCGTCCAAGTTTCGGGTTCTGCCCCCAAGAATACAATCTCCATATCCTGTCTAGGCCATCAACGGGCTTACCAGTTCGTAAGATATCTTATCTTAAAAAAATGTTCATTAAAACTTGAAATCAGTTCATTATGAGATCAATAACAATAATCAAGCTATTGTCTTTAAACACTTTTATTTATCAAACAAGTTTTGTCTTTTAAAAACATTTATATAGCCAAAACACTTTAAAATAGACTAACAAGGATATAAGAAAAATATTTTATCTCTCAGATATCAAACCTGTAGCTAGCTTTTCGTCATCCTAACTTCCGCTTTCTTTAAAGTTTTAATACTCGATCTTCTTTGCTAGCTTTATCACAAAAGCAATGTCTTAGGATACATTTCTCATTCCTAAAACGAATTAAGCTCAAACAAGTTTTTAACGAAATTTCGGCAACATGCTAGCATAAACAGGGAAAATGTCAAACTTGCAATTCAAGTTCAATTTCAAAATAAATTATCCAGAAATCATCAAAATCAGTTTCCAATCAATTCAACAAATGCAATAACTGAAAACCCTTAAATTTAATTCAATTGTAACAACAATTGTTCAAATCTAAACCCTAACTCAAAATTATTTAAATCTAACAAATATTACAAATTCTCAAATCAATAACTCAAATTTAAGTATGAATTTTCAAGAAAGCTTTACCTCAAAATGATTGACGCTCGTTTCTCTTTATTTCTCTCTGTTTTTTTAGGGTCTCGGCCAAACAACCGAGTAAGAGAGAGAGAGAAATGACCGGAGAGAGAGAAGGCCGGGGAGAGAAGAGGGCCGGCGGGAGAGAGAGAGCTCGGAGAGGTAGTTGGCCGGCATGGGTGAAGGAGGAGAGAGAGAGAGAGTGCTGCCGTGGTGAAGAAAAAGAAGGAAAGAGAGAGAGAGAGGCAGACACGGGAAGGAAAGAAGAAAAGGGAAAAGAAGAAAAAGGAAAAGAAGAAAAAGGAAAAAAAAAAGCAAAAAGAAAAAGAAAAAAAAAAGAAAATAGAAAAAATGGAAAAAAATGAAAATATATTAGAATTGAAGTGTATTTTTAAAAATTTTTGAGATAAAATTATAAATACTAAAAATTATTTAATTAATTAAAAAAAATTAAATTAAACACATTAAAAACTCACAATTTAACATAATTAAATATGTTTAATTTTGAAACGTGTCACACAAATACGCAAGTAAATTTCAACGGTAGAAGCTTTACTTCAACAAACACTAATGATGGTTTTCCATTTTTACAATTTAGCTAGGTAAGTTGAGAAAACCACGGTTAAAATTCAAAATTCCACCATAAAACAATCGTTAAATTTGAAATTTAAATGTATAAAAGTCTAAAAATAAAGAGTATAACTTTTTAATATTCTTATCTTAATCTTAAAAAATAAAAGCATAAATATGTAGGACCCTTTATACTGTTCAATCCTCACACTTTATTGCTACGATCAATCATCCCATTTCAACGGTTGGATTTGATCTAGGACAATCTTAGGGGCAGGCTATGAAATGAAGCATAAAACTTGTATCAATCGCTTTCGCAATAATGAATTAAAATTAAATGTGTTGCCACAATAAATGACGTCATCGTTAGAATGTAACTGACAGTAGTGTTATTTGTAACTACAATAATTTTTTTGGATATTTGTTATTTTTTAATGTTATGATGACGTCATTTACTATGATAATATCCTCGACTTATATTTATATTGAAGCCATAAAGCATAAACTATCGCTACAGTTAATATTCAACTGGTAATAACCGGTTACTTGAGTAAACAAACTATAGCCTATAGATGTCAAATCAACAACCTGCTTCAGTCATCCCAATATCAGGTGATCGTTAGAAATGACCTAACAATATATAAATAACCTTTACCTAAAAAAATAGAAAAAAAAACCCTTTTCACTAAAAAAAAAAAAAAGGAAGATGAAAACCCAACTTACAAGATGTGCATACAAGAGCCATTTATTTTTATTATTATTTTTTCGTTCATGAAATAAACATTCTTTAATAAAAATCTTTTTTTTTTTTTTTTTTTTTTTGCATAAAATTGGTTTTGCTTTTTTTAAGGGAGAAAACAATAGCCAAAAACTCTCGCGAAAATAAAAAGAAAAACCACACTTGAAATTAGAATCCTTTTCTTAATCTGATTATTCTTCGCCGCCTATATAAAGTTTTTCCCACAGGTCAATATTCGTCGTCGTTTGTTCTAGAGGACAGCCTTACATTACACGTTTGTATAATTGAATTAAATTTCACATTCTCCTTTCGTAACCCTAGATCCCCCTTTCCTTCTGCCATCTCCTTCAACAACCGGAATTCAATCTCAGACAGTCAGAGAGAGAGAGCCATGGATGATAGCTGTGCGGTGTGCGCCGACTCTCTGGAATGGGTCGCCTACGGGCCCTGTGGTCATCGGGATGTGTGCTCCACCTGCGTCGCTCGTCTCCGCTTCATCTGTGATGATCGCCGCTGTTGTATTTGCAAGACCGAGTCCGACATCATCTTCGTCACCAAGGTTAGGGTTTTCGATTTTATAAGATTTTCATTATCCATCTCAATTTTCCTAATTTCATTCATTACTAGTGCGTATTTGATGTGTTGTTTTTACGATCGGTGATCGATTTGTGCAATCCCAAATTGTTACTAGAATTTGCTTTACATTGAATTCATATGACAATTTTTAGCTCAAGATTAACTTTTTAACTTCGTTCTATAATCGGAGGTTCAATTCCGGTGCCGTTTCTTGAAATTAACTTATGGAAGTCAATACTCATCATGAGAAAGTTAGGAAATAATTGTAATTTTGCTTTTATAAAGCTCATGAAGTTTTGATACATATGCATTCGTGATGTTTTGCTCTTAACTTATTGATATGCAACACTATCATTTTCTGGTTTGGCCCTTCTGTTTCGTGTAAGCTTTTTGTAACTTCCATGTTTGACAATTATCAATCTTATCCACATAATATTGATATTTCTATGTTTGAAACACGTTTGCGTTGGTCATTTTTATCATGGGTGTGCTTCTGCTGTTGGTTCAGGCTTTGGGAGACTACACAAGGACGATTAGCGACTTTTCGGTGTTGCCATCTGAAGTGAAGGAGGGCCGTGTGGGATCATACTGGTATCATGAGGACACACAAGCAGTTTTCGATGATGTGGATCACTACAAGATGATCAAAGCAATGTGCAAGCTTTCATGCAGTATATGCGATAAGATAGAGGAACAACAGAATGATGGTTCAAAGTGTCGTATGAGGTTTCGGAATATTGGACAGCTAAAGGGTCATTTGTTTCACAAGCACAGATTGTTTATGTGCAGTCTATGCTTAGAAGGAAGGAAGGTAGAGTTTAATCCCCTGATGAATTGATGCTAATGCGTGCAATAAATCAGATTTCTATTTTTACTTAAAAACATTTACCTACACTACTATTTGTTTATACTCAGTTTGTCTGTTGACTGATGGCTTTGTTTTATTTGGTGTCATATAGGTATTTATTTGTGAACAGAAGTTATATACTAGAGCACAACTGAATCAACATATAAGCACAGGTGACTCTGAAGTGGATGGAACTGAGAATGAAAGAGGTGGTTTCTCGGGGCATCCGACATGTGAGTTCTGTAAAACCCCATTTTATGGGGATAATGAGCTCTACACACATATGTCTACAGAACACTACACTTGCCATATATGCCAAAGGTAAAGGAAGTTGTTTAAAATTTTATCAAGTATCTGTATCTTCAACTTAAATGTTGCTGAGATATATTTTGTGCTGTTTTAATGCAGGCAGCATCCTGGACAATATGAGTATTATAAGAATTATGATGACCTGGAGGCAAGTAGTTACTGCTATTGTACACGTATTCATTTTTAGTAACTTATGTATAAGCATAGTCGTCTATTATGAATATCTTTGTTTTTACTTGGAAATTTTCTTTTTGTGACAGATACATTTCCGTCAATCCCATTTTCTATGTGAAGACGAGGCTTGCCTTGCTAAAAAGTTTATTGTCTTCCAATCTGAATCTGAAATGAAGGTGATTTTTTGGAGTATGAGAAAAATGTATCTAGAGTAGATGGTTTTAAGGTTTCTGCAACTTGTAGAATTCTAGTCCTTACATTTTTTTTTCTTGGTTGTTTTTCAGAGACATAATGCTCTTGAACATGGAGGGCATATGTCCCGTTCTAAGCGTAATGCGGCTCTTCAGGCATGTACACTGTGTTTTCTGGTTCTTCCATATTTTTGTGAAATTGTCTTTTGTACATTATTAATTTGATCTCGTCTATTTTTTGTTTCTTATTTCCTTATCTTCCCAATTTCTGTAACAGATACCAACAAGCTTTAGATACAGAAGCAGTAATGAACAAGATCATTGCAGAGGAAGAGGAAGAGGAAGGACATTTCGTCCTGATTTTTCTGAGAATCAACTTTCCATGGCAATTCATGCAAGTCTTGAGACAGCCATTATAGATAATACGTTACATGATGCACCATCATCATCTGGCGGGCAAGTTGCTCCTAATATTGGGATTGGAAGCGATATTGATGAAATCATTCATCCATTTGAATCACTAGCTACTACTGATGCTGAATCATCATCTAGATACCTTCAAGCTTTGGGGCAGAAGTCAAGGTTTAAACCTCCAGAAGGATCTTCCTTTCCTCCTCTCGCCACGGCACCTGGCATCAGTGAGCTTAAATCTAGACATGACTCAGATGGTTTACCTAACAACACTATGGCCGCACATCTTCGTCGTCGTCAAAGTAATCGCAATGCAAGTGCTCTTAGTTCAGGCCAGGCTTGGCCAGCAGCTAGCCGTGGACCTCAATTACGACCGAATAATTCGTCTCAAGCTTGGCCTACTATGAGTGCTGTGTCTGGAACCTCACGCGCTTCAAGCCAGAACAAGATGAACTCTGGTAATGCACCTGGTCCATCTACGTATGCAAGTTTTACTCGAGCTCGACCCACAACAGTCAGTGGGCAATCATCTGGTTCCTCAAGGGACACAGGAAACCCTGTCAGGATCACTCACTCTGCATCTGCACCTAATCTGGTTGCGAAAGGATCTACTGAGTCTTCAATTTCAGATTTCCCTCCAGTTTCTGCAGCAGCAAAATCACGCAAGCTGCCTTTGAGTAACCAGGCTTTGCCGAATACAGAGGATGTTCACACTGCAAACAAGTCTTTAGTGGAAAAGATTCGGGCTGCTCTTGAATTTGATGAAGACAAATACACTGCATTCAAAGACGTATCTGGACAATATCGTCAGGGTTTAATCGACACAGAAAGATATCTGAATTATGTGCAGCATTTTGACTTGTTGCATCTTGTCCTTGATTTAGCTAGACTCTGTCCTGAGACAGCAAAGCAAAAAGAGCTCATTGACGCCTACAATGCTAGAGTTCAGAGCAATACTGATCAGGGGAATAGCTCAGCCCGTGGTAAAGGTTTGAAGAAAGGTAAAGGAAAGGGCTTAGTCGCTGAAGACAAGAATTCTAAAGATACACTTGCAGATAACTTTCTAAGTTCTGTACGGAAACTTCAATCAGGTTACAACCTGTCAGGAGAAAATGTTGAGGTATTGTTGAAGGATGGATATCGCACTACAAACGGTGAATCAAAGTTGATAATCAATGAGCAGCCCGCGGAATTGAATAATCATAGTCAACCCTTGATGAAACCAGGTGGTTCGACGGATTTGCCATCGAGTGCTAGTGGAAAATCGGGGGAGGGGGGAGGAGGGAGTAAGCAACGGAAGAAAACCTCAAAATTCCATCGAGTTAGATTAGGTGATGGTTCAGTTGCAGCACTTTTGGATCTTAATCGTTCTGATCCACATCCTGATTCGGATCCAACAAAAGAGCAATTAGATGGGAATGGCAACTCTGCTGGAGGGTTACCTGTTAGTGGTGTTTGGCGAAACGGGGGAGGTCATAGACTCCTTTCTTAGCGCTTTTTGGAAGGAAATCTTCACAATGTTGTGTTTTTGGCTGTAGATTTTGTGAAGTTCTACAATTATAATGCATTGCCGGCTTAAGGGTAAAGGCAAGGCAAACTGCCTAAGTCCTCTATTAAGTTGAGGCCTAAGTCCTCTATTAAGTTGAGGCCTAAGTCCTCTATTAAGTTGAGGCCCCTTATTATTAGGACCATTACCTTGATACCTCAGCATATTGAACATATTAGTTCGTTCCTTTCTTTTCAAAAAAAAAAAAATCTTATTTCTTAATATTAAGTTTTAATATTTATTCTTTTTTTTTTCTTCTAACAATTGATTATATAATTTCAAACTTATCTTGAAGCATAGTTGATATTTCATATCAAATATTTTGTAATCCTTTTCAAAGAAATGTTCGGCTGAAAAGCAAGAACGAAAGGAAAAAAAAAAAAAATCATCAAAATAATTTTCTTTCAACCTTGTTCCTAATTACGCTCTCTCCTAAAAAGGTTATGAGGAGTTATAAAAAAATAAAAGATAGTAAATATTTGGTTTTTTGTTCTTAATTTCATTTTATTGTTTGTTCTCTTTACTATTTTATTATCTTATTAAATTAATGGATAGGGACATCTTTCATGAAATACGTTACATATATATGATTAAATGTAAACCGTTTATAATATAAATGTGTTCAAATGTACACAAATGAAATATAATTTACAAGCAAACAGTCTTCACTTCTTAAAATTAGTAATGTGCATAGAATCATTGTTCAGAAATCTGAATAATATTTGTTCATCCCGCCAAAGGTCTTCTCGGTGCTGTAGCACATGTATAAAAATCCATCCTCATCCTTGGAAGATTCATAAACCAAATCCATTAAAGTAGCTGCAGATTACCGTAGAATTCAGAAAATCATCATATCATAGCAGTAAAATGTTTCAGATTGACAAACAGTGAGACTTCAGACTAAAAAGCATAAACAATTTAATCATTTTTTTTTAATACCTGTTTGAGGCAGGGTATCATTGACAAATACAAATAGAGCTTTTCCAGGGCTCAGATGAAGCCTGCTCCTTAATATGTGTATGAACTGCCCAACCGACATGTCTCGGGGTACAAGGTATCTATAAAAAAAAAACAAAAAAACAGGTATTTTCGCTTAAACAAGATTTGATTCTTCGATTTTTTGTCATTAGAAGAAAGCAGAAACTATAGACAACATATCTAGTATTCGCATCATTTGACGGATATACTAATAACAAGAAGGAAGATACCCATAAGAAATTGTGCTTTTAGACCGCTTTATCACATAAGAAGCATACAAAAACTAACGAAAATTAAAGAGCAAAATAAAGTCTACACTTTTTACTTGAGTAAACAAATCCAGAATTCGTATCCTTGGAAAGACAAACAATAACCAATACCCTAGATAATTTGAATAAAATGCCAAAAAATTCCTTTGACAGAAGCTTCCCTATCTAAGATTTGTATGAATACAACCAACGAATTCCTGATAAAAATCCTAACAAAAATTCTATGGCAACCGAAAGACTAAAGCGTAGCTTGGACTTACTTTTTCTTTTCCATCTCCGGAAGGTCACTTCCCGAATGTTTTTCCGCAATTACCTGCAAGGTATTATTCGTTCCATATCAGTATCATTATCATATCACCCAAAATTTATCATATTATTTAAAAAAAGAAAGGTAGAAGAACAGAGCATTAAAAAAAAAAAAAAAAAGTGTTGGGAATATAGTGGGACTTACAGGGACTCGATCGGGGTATTTGGCGAGTATATCCCGTGATTCATCAAGCCTTTGATCTGCACTTGATTTTACTTTAGATTAGATGAGAATCAAATCATCCTTAAACATTAATTAATTTTGCAAAATCATTATATCATTATTGATTATAAACATTTGTTTTCTTTTGGCGACTAACCGAAACTGAATTCGTCTTTGAAAGATACTGTCTTCCCCATAACAATATCTCTTTTTCTTCACGATTCTGTTCGTCGATGGAAACGAAGAAGAAGAAGAAGAAGAATGAGCCTCCCTTTGACCAAGGAAATAAACAGATAAGAGGCTCCAAAAGTCTGGTGAACAGATTAATATGTTTTTGAATGTTTTATCTTTCATCAAGCGGGGATAGCTCAGTTGGGAGAGCGTCAGACTGAAGATCTGAAGGTCGCGTGTTCGATCCACGCTCACCGCATTCGTTTTTCTTCTATGTTCGTTTTTTAATTTGGGCCTTGTGAATTCAACCTCTAGCCCACTTCTTAGGCCGGGCCCGTTTTAAGTCTTCCGTAGCCTCCAGGGCTAAGGGCAAAGCATGGGCCAGCTCACTTTCAGGTCCGGTCCCGTTAAGCAGTCCAAGTCCAAGGGTTTTAGACTTTTAAACCCCTACTCCACTTTCCAATATCTCTGAAAGTTTTAACATTGAAGTTGAAGAACTGAAGAAGAAGAAGAGCCAAAGAGCACGCACAGCCATGGCTATGGCGGTAGAAGTTGACTCCCAAAGCGATTGTTGGCGTCTTCAAATAGGGCAATATATGGGCGAAATCTCAGCCCTTTCTCTTCTCCTTCTCCGCATTCCCCATCATCCTCTCTCCTCTCTCCCTTTCCTTCTCGCCGGTACACTCTTTTCCATCCTTCTCTTCCCCAATACCTCTCCAGCTTTGCCCTAATTCAGAGAACAATATTATTCATGACACTTGTTGATTCCTGTTTCAGGCTCTGGTTCCCAGCTTCTGGTCTACGATTTGGAGCTGGGGAAGATGATAAGCTCATTTTACGTATTCCATGGGATTCGCGTTCATGGCATCACTTGTTCGAGTTTTGATTCCAACGAAATTGCAGTATTTGGGGAGAGGAGAGTGAAGATTTTTAGCTTACGCGTTGACGACGATGTGAAATTGACACTTTTGCAGTCGTTGCCAAAGTTCGGTAGTTGGGTTTTGGATGTTTGCTTCTTCAAGGTAAAACCACCACCTCTCATTCTGTTTTGTTTTATTTTATTTTTCCCGCGAAAACGAATTATTGGATGACCAATTTCGAAAAGCCATGCATTATATCGTAAAAAGTGGAATTTTTTCTTTTTAAATTGCTACTTAGGACTTATAAAGTACCTAAATTTAGCGAATTCAAATAGTTGTTTGTATCCTGTAAATAAGGAACCATGTTTTACATAATATATGTTTAGGTATTAGAATTTGTTTTGATTTGAGAGAGTTGGAAAGGAACTATCTTGTGCAATGGTTTTGTACATCTGGTCTTTCTCAAGGCATTTCTTTAGAGAAAAACACGGTTTTATTTTTCTTTTTTTTTCTGGATTAAATATTTCTCATAATGCGGAGTGTGAATAGAACCCATGTTTGAATTGCAATTGTTTTCCTGGGGATACAGGGCAACGAGAGTTCATTGCTTGGAAAAAACACCTTCCTTGCCATAGGATGCAGTGACAACTCTGTTTACTTATGGGACATTTCAAAGTCGAGCGTTGTTCTTCAAGTCCAATCTCCCGGTTAGTAATTATATTATTAATATGCCTCATGTTAAGGCTAGTTTGGGATTGCTTTTGGAGTTCTCAAAATCCAAAGTGCCTTGCACATAAATCAATATTCAATGTCAATGCAACTAATATGTTTGATAAAAATGCAAAAAAGTATTTTAGATAAGTACTAACTGTTGTCCCGAATAAGGCTACCCAAGAGGAGAGTGAATTGGATTTTGAATATTTTTCGAGAGTTAATACGATTATTCGAAGATTAAAACTAAATATAGACAATTAATTGAACAAGGTACTTTTATCAAACACTTGGTGTACAGAAAATTATGTAAGTTAATGCAATAGCACAACCACTTGATGTACACAGGATGGACCAATCTAATATCATAAAGAGTTAAATAAACTTATCACGACGAGTTAAAAACAATCAATGTCATCAATCAAATTTAAAGTGCGGAAATTAAAGAAATAGAGTTAGAGAGATGCAAACGAGATTTATAGTGGTTCGATAAATAAATTTGCCTACATCCACTGTCGCCGAGATATTCCGTCTCTCGACCTCTTTCACTATTCGATCGACTTTCCGGCACGATCACTCCTTTTACAAGAAGGCGAATCTTTCTACCCGAGGCTTTGCCTAACCTCTTACACAATGTCGATTTTCCACGGAGATCGACCAACCAAGTAACCCAATACCAAAATAATGATTATGAGTAATGAAGCACTTAGTTTTACACTCCTAACAATGGTTTTACACAATTTGAAATCACTAGGAGATGATGAACTCACACTATCACAAGATAAGTCAAGGTAGGCTCAAATATGTGTGAGAGAGTTAAGGATTTAGAGAAGATGATGATTATGTAGACACAATGGAGAACTCTCTTTTTGATTTTTTGAAACTTTGAATTCGTTCTCTATTTTTCACTGAGATTCCTGTTGAGAAAAATGACTTTTCTCTATTTAACCTCTCTTTCCAACGGTCATATTTTTGCCCGTTTACCCAGTACCGGTCGACCGGAGCGGTTGACCGGTTGAGACAAATTTAAAATTTGAGCTGTTCAACATTCTTATTGAGTGACTGTTGAACAGAACCGGTCGACTGGAGCGGTTGACCGGTTGAGGCATCACCGGTCGACCAGTGAATTTAGCCTTCTCTGTCACCGGACGACATAGGTCGACCGGTTGACACTTAATTTGCCTCAAATCTTCACACATTTGTACTTTTAGGCCAAATGTCATTATGCACTAAGTTTAGTCTCATTTTTAAAGAATAATGTGAGTGTGTGCATGAGCCTAAACAAGAATTAATCATGATAGTATGAAGTCAAAATCAAATACAAGACTAAGGAGATATTAAAAACCTATTAGTACTTGTCCAGCTTGATTTTGTTTGCTTGCTCTTGATCTTTGATATTTTAGCACTCTAAGCCTTGAATTCCTTCTTCAATTTGCATTTGTCAATCTTGAATGTATTTGCATTGTATTCCGCAAAATGCTTCTTGAGTTGATTTATAACATTAATTACGCTAAATACACAACTCAAAATAGAATCATTAGAAACATAATACATTGTGTTTGTGATCATCAAAACATGAGAATATTCAACCTTGGGCCAACACTAACGTACTTTTGCTGTCAGTTTAGGAAGTTAAATTTTGTAACTTTTTAACTATTTGCTTTTAGTTCTATTTTTACTAGAAACACATGAGCTAGGTTTTTTACTTTTTAACTTTTTCGACTACTTGCTTCTTTTAAAACACTGCAATTCTTAACTGAGCTTTAGTTCTCTTGCTGTTTGTATGGGTTCATGGGAGTTTGTAAGCTTAAATCTTTAATCAGGTTTTTTTTTTCCCCTCATTTCTTGTTTACTGTAGATAGAAGTCTTCTGTATTCAATGCGCTTATGGGGTGACAGTCTCGAAGCTCTCCGTATAGCATCTGGTACTATTTATAATGAGGTGGTTAATCTCTTTCTTATGACGAAAGTTTCTCCACTTGAATAATTGCATTATTTTTCGTTATTGTCTTAAGCTTACATGCATGAACTTAATGCCACAAGCACACGTATATTGATCACCTTATCTCTTGGGTTTTTATAGTGGTTGAAATTGACATGGCATTGATCTTCTAATTTTCCCTGCATTGTTTTGGAAAATGGGTTTTGGACAGATAATTGTTTGGAAAGTTGTCCCTCAGGGCGATTCACTTTCCAACGCTCTTCAACATCATGATCCAAATTGTACAGCTGTTCATATTTGTAAACTAGTTGGGCACGAAGGTTCAATCTTCCGCCTATCATGGTCTTCCGATGGTTCTAAACTGGTCTCCGTCTCTGATGATCGTAGGTGAATTTGTTACTTAAACTTCTTAATGATATTTTTAGTCTTCATTTGCAACATATGATTTCTTTCTTTAAAAAATATATCTTATGTGAGTAATTTCTGCATTGCTACAGTGCTCGTGTCTGGGAGGTTTGCTCTGGAACAGAAGACTATGAAAACCTAAGGGAATCTACTGGCCTCGTCCTTTTTGGTCACAGTGCCCGAGTTTGGGACTGCTGTATTTTTGATTCTGTGAGCTTAGTCTTTACTCGATTCTTGAGATCTTAGCTTGTTTTTGTCCTCCTTCAGATATATTCTATCTGGAAATCAAGTTAGAACAGATTGTCCTTGATTTTGTTCTGAGGAAAAAAAGAAGAAGAAGAAAAACTATACTATTGCTTTATCACCACATAATTTTGTCTTCTGATTCTTGATTTATGGAAAATCAAGTAGGAGACTACCATGAATCTTCTTTATTTATTAACTTATGATTTTTCCTTTTTACCTTAAGGATTTGGATTTTGAGTCCAAACCTAACTCTATTCCTTCCTTTCTTTTAGTTGATTGTCACTACCAGTGAAGATTGTACGTGCCGCGTATGGGGATTAGATGGCAAACAACTTCAAATGATCAAGGAACACTTGTAAGTGGTATATATGGGCTCTCTCCCTCCCTCTCTTCTCTCTCTATCTCTCTCGACAATAATCAAATTTGGCACAACAACAATCAGTAATGCACATTCTGGATAACATAACAAAGTATTATGTGGAAGCGGTTATTAGTAGTTCTAATAACCTTAAATCTTTTCTTATTTGGTGTTGTACAGAGGAAGGGGCATATGGCGATGTTTGTATGATCCAAAATTTTCACTTCTCATCACTGCTGGGTTTGACTCTTCAATCAAAGTGCATCAGCTACGTACTTCACTTAGTTTGGAGGGAAACTTTGAGGCAAAGGAAATCGACAGAACGAACATATACACTGCTCGTATACCTAGTTCTTCGGATTATACTGGGTTGATGGATAGGTAGGACTGCTGAATATTGGAATGATTTTTTGGAACCTCTTCCTATGCAGAAGTACGCATTAAGTTTCTTTTTCTTGATCCTGTTGTAGTAGTTGTGCCGCTTGATGGCGAGATAAAGAGATGCTTAGATGAACTTTTATATGTAGTGTCCATTTTCTTTATGGAGTCAACTTTAGACCTTAAAATGTTAGTTGTGTTTCCTACTACTAGTCTTCATTCTTAAATTTTCTGATTGTCATTTTTACTTTGTAATGCTTATGTTAGTGCACTTGGGCTTCTTCTGACATGTTGCAGCAAAAGTGAATATGTTCGTTGCTTGCACTTCACAAATGAGGATACGCTTTATGTTGCCACAAACCGTGGTTATCTGTATCGTGCTAAATTATTTGAGAATGGTGATGTAAGTTGGACTGAGATTGTTCAAGTCAGTGAAAAGGTGCCAATTGTTTGTATGGATTTACTGTCAAAACCGTTTAAGCCTGGCCGTGATGTAGAGGACTGGATCGCTGTTGGAGATGGTAAAGGAAACATGACAATTGCCAGAGTTATTGGTGACGTTTGTTCTCCTGAGGTGGACATTTCATTTTCTTGGTCGGCTGGACCAGAGAGACAGCTCTTGGGAAGCCATTGGTGTAGGCCACTAGGATACGGGTATGAACATTTATTATTCTCTAATAATACTTTCCCTGTTCTCTGTAAATTCAGGGCTGCATTACTTCAAAATTGAATGTATGCTCTGTGGCTCGTTGTGTTTTTACCGCCCTTCATTTGCCTAATTCCAGAAGACCCGTCCTGTAATTTAGGTGGTGTGATGTCAATGAAGGTTATGAAGATTATTGACATTGTGTTTATCCTACAGTTACATCTTCACGGCTGATCCCCGAGGAACATTAAAATTATGGAGGCTGCGGGATCCTTTACAACCTCTTCCCCATAATTCTGTGGATAGTTGCAATGTCTCTCTTATAGCAGAATTCACATCCTGTTTTGGAAGGCGAATAATGTGTCTGGACGTGTCTTTTGAGGATGAGGTAATTGGTGTCCATCATTTGTTTCGTCTTTGCAATTGTTTTCATTTTCTTTCCACCATTTTTGTTACATGTGATTAAAATGCGTGTACACAGTGATTGATGTATTTTGTTCTCAAAACATGACCTGTATGACCTCGACAAAAGGATATAAAATAGTAAATATTTCCAGAAAGACAAAGAAAGACAATAATTTCCTATACACTTTGAGGAGAGAATAAATGAAGCAGTCACATAATATATAACTTCTGCTTAGATGAGCTTGTTGACTGCAAGGTTGATCGCAATTTTTTCTGCTACTTATTTTCATTGATATTTTGTAGGTGCTGGTATGTGGAGATATACGTGGTAATCTTGTTCTGTTTCCTTTGTTAAAAAGCACACTAGTGGGAACATCTGTTGCATCAGATACGAAAGTATCTGCCTTGGCTTATTTCAAAGGGGCTCATGGGATATCAACTGTCACCTCCGTTGCTGTTGCTAGACTACGTTCAAATCGGATTGAAATGCGTTCGGTAAGATAAAATTTGTCATAATGTCTAATATGAATATTCTTGTGGTTGTCATCAGAGAATACTTGAAGATAAATTAATATTTCCAGACTGTTGTTTGTGTGGTTTAGATTCTCATTCTTTTGCTACTCATTCAGACCGGAGGAGATGGATGCATATGTTATTTGGAATATGACAGAGATGAACAGAAGTTGGAATTTATTGGGATGAAACAAGCAAAAGAGTTAAGTTTGATCCATTCTGTTTGCACTGACAATACCTCTGTTAATGAGTTATCCAGTGCCCACTATGCAGCTGGTTTCACTTCTGTTGATTTTATTATATGGAACTTGAAAACCGAAACAAAGGTACATTCTCTCTCTCAGTATCATATCGTCACTCTTGACTGATATGAATACTACTTGAATTACTTTACTGGTGCCTGAGGGTGGTCCATATTGGAGCAGGTTTTGCAAGTTTCTTGTGGTGGATGGCGGCGTCCTCATTCTTATTATGTTGGTGATCTACCAGAGATAAAGAACTGTTTTGCATATGTAAAGGTCTGTTTATGTTACCTGTTTGGATATGATAATTTCAAAAGCTAGAACCACCATCTTTAGAAGTTGGACCTGAAGTAGGTGAAGAATGCTACTTTTGAATTTGATAGAAATTCAATACACATTTACTACTAACCAATGTGAATATTATAATAAGCCTGAGGCTACTTGGTCTAGTGGCACTGGGGGGTTTGGGTGGGATGGGGTTTGGGGAGCGTTTGTGGGTTCGATCCCTTGTTGTTTCAAAAATGTGAATATTGCAATAATGTGCACCGGAATTCTATGAGATAAGACGTATATTTTATATCACGGACTTCATGAAAAGAGCTTTAGTCAGTAAAGTTCGGTTATGTTTAAATCAAAATTTCCGTTTCCATGTTATCAGACTAAACTAAGCGCTATTATTTATATCCATCTTCAATTTTTTTCTTTTCTTACATTGTCAACTTGTTTGAAGAATAGATCACCATCATTGCTTCGCTTTATTTTTCAGGATGAAGTCATTCACATTCATAGGCACTGGGTGCCAGATGGGTGCAGGAAGATGTATCCGCAGAATCTTCATATGCAATTCCATGGGAGGGAAATGCACTCGTTATGCTTTATCTTAGAAGAAACACAATCTGGCAAAAATGGGAAGCCCGGCCTTTTCTCGGAATCTAGTTGGATTGCTACTGGATGTGAAGACGGAACTGTGAGGTTGACTAGGTATATTTATAGAATCCGACTTAAAATTGGTACACATTTCAGCTTGAGTATATGGCTTTGAGATAGTGAACTTACTATGTTTATTCTACTGAGCAAATGTATGGCTGAAAGTTGTAATTCTTCCTCTCCCCCTCTTTTCTTTTCTTCATGTGACTGTCATTTTTTTTTTTTTTTTTTTTTTTTT